CAGTGAAAGACATCTTAACCACATGCTTGATGGGGGTAGCAATAGCACCAAAAGCTATCACCAATGACACTAAGTTAAGGGGACACTCATTGATAGCCTCATACTATAACATTTTTGACTGGGGAACCAGTACAAACATAAAAGACAACAGCATGTACACATTACAAGTAGCAGCAGTAACCCAAGCAGCTACTTGTTTCACACTGACTGGATGCCACCAGCCTAAAGTTTCCAACTGCTACAACCTCACTAACACTGAACTGGTCTGCAACAACACCAAGGCCATCACCTTCTCATATGGCTATGTGAAACTTCCTACAGGATGGTTTCTATTATGTGGCCTGAGAGCTTATTCCTACCTGCCTGCAAATTCCACTGGGGGCCCTTGCACGTTAGGACAACTAACCATGCTGATGCCCTCCCTACAAAGGCGGCAAAGAAGGAGCTTCCACACATTACCTCCTGACTGCGATTTCAAAACCCCCCTTCTCACAAAAACTGAATATATTGCATTGGCTGTCTCTCTAGTGGGAGTGCCAGGGCTCGCAGCACGAAACTCAAGGAATATAAACAGCCTGGCATGTACCCTAGCTAAAAGTTTAAACACCACTTCCCATGCACTGGACGCCTTAAACAGAGAACTAAGGCAAATCAGAGAAGCCACCCTTGAAAATAGAGCAGCCATTGACTACCTATTATTGAGGCACAATCATGGCTGTGAAGAATTCAGAGGGCTCTGCTGCTTCAATTTATCCGACCAATCTGGGCTAATTGAACAAGATATCAAACATTTAAAAGAACTAGCACAAAACATTGGGCACAACCAGTCATCCTGGGACCTTTCCTGGCTCTTTTCATGGTTACCAGACTTCCATTGGTTGAAAATTCTTATTGGTAGTATAATCACAGTCATAATAGGTGGAGCCCTTCTTTGTTGCCTATGCCAATTAATTCCTTTAGGGTTAAAATGCCTAAAGATCTGCACAACTCCCATCAGGAGCAAGGGACAAAGCAAGAAAACATCTCTCATGATGTGCCAAATTGATCACCACTACCGTATATATGAACCAGTTGGGCTAATCACTGATACTCCAGTGATAGCCCAAAATGGGGGGATTGATGAGAGTTGGACACCCCCTCCCCAGCCCAACCAAGAAATAATCTAGGAATACCCCAACTAAACTGGGTCAACAGCAGCCTGAGGCTAAATGGCAAACACTTGACACACACAATGAGGAACCAGCTAGCAACAATCAGGACACAACAATAAAGTAATTAACACCTTTCAGGCAGGATTAGCAAAGAAATTTAACCAACAATAGTCACTGACCAACAAATCAGAAAAGGCAGATTCAAACTCACCAATTAGAAATGATAAGTTTGTTACCAATCAGAAATGACAAGTTTGGAAACCACAAAAGGGTCTAAAAACCCGTTTAAAGATCACTCTGTCTAGCTAGCCGGGGACCCGAGCTGAATTGTCACTCAACGCTGATCCTCGAAATTAAACCTCTTTCCGGATCTATTTCTTCTGCGCCGTCAAGGGGAATCCCGGCTGGAAGGACCGAACGGGGGAGTTCCTCCCAACACTACTTTGTTAACAGATATGTATATGGGAAAAATACAAGCCTCAGGTGGAGGAAGGGGGAGGAGTTACCATGGGCCCAGTGTGAGTCACCATCTAGGAATTGTTTTTAAGTACCTTTTGGTGTCTGGTACCCCTACTGGATCCAACAGGTGTAGAAGATGGGAGACATCTCTCCTCTAGAATTGATATAGGATAGTAGGGGAAGGATCTTATTAGTATAATGTATTCTGTTTAGGCGCTTCTGATAGATTGTAACCTCCAAAGCCTAAGCCAATGGGGCCATGGGGGATGGAATGGGGCGTCGTGATAGGATGTATAATAATATGTGATTTTGGAATTTGGGGTGTGGTTCAGTGCTTGGCTACATTACATTGCCTTCCTGAATCCACCACGCTTTGCAAACCATTATTTTTTTTAGACTTTGTTGTGAAGTCTAATAAACTTCTTTTCTATTTGTAACTCAGACTGGATTTCAATTTGTGACTATTTTTGCGTCTAACAGAATAACTCTAAATTAATGCATTATCAACAAACCAAAATGTCTAATTTCAACTTTGGTTATCTATAACTAAAGAACATGAAAAAGCATAAGGTTGCACACATGGCAAATTTACTGATGTCTTTTATGTTTAAACATACAGTGGGGCAAAAAAGTATTTAGTCAGCCACCAATTGTGCAAGTTCTCCCACTTAAAAAAATGAGAGAGGCCTGTAATTGTCATCATAGGTAGACCTCAACTATGAGAGACAAAATGAGAAAACAAATCCAGACAATCACATTGTCTGATTTGGAAAGAAAATAAGTATTTGGTCAATATCAAAAGTTCATCTCAATACTTTGTTATATATCCTTTGTTGGCAATGACAGAGGTCAAACGTTTTCTGTAAGTCTTCACAAAGTTGGCACACACTGTTGCTGGTATGTTGGCCCATTCCTCCATGCAGATCTCCTCTAGAGGAGTGATGTTTTCGGGCTGTCGCTGGGCAACACGGACTTTCAACTCCCTCCAAAGGTTTTCTATGGGGTTGAGATCTGGAGACTGGCTAAGCCACTCCAGGACCTTGAAATGCTTCTTACAAAGCCACTCCTTCATTGCCCGGGCGGTGTTTGGGATCATTGTCATGCTGAAAGACCCAGCCACGTTTCATCTTCAATGCCCTTGCTGATGGAAGGTTTGCACTCAAAATCTCACAATACATGACCCCATTCATTCTTTCCTGTACACGGATCAGTCGTCCTGGTCCCTTTGCAGAGAAACAGCCCCAAAGCATGATGTTGCCATCCCCATGCTTCACAGTAGGTATGGTGTTTTTTGGATGCAACTCAGCATTCTCTCTCCTCCAAACACGACGAGTTGTGTTTCTACCAAACAGTTCTACTTTGGTTTCATCTGACCGTATGACATTCTCCCAATCCTCTTCTGGATCATCCAAATGTTCTCTAGCAAACTTCAGATGGGCCCGGACATGTACTGGCTTAAGCAGGGGGACACGTCTGGCACTGCAGGATCTGAGTCCCTGGCGGCGTAGTGTGTTACTGATGGTTGCCTTTGTTACATTGATCCCAACTCTCTGCAGGTCATTCACTAGATCCCCCCCCCCGTGTGGTTCTGGGATTTTTGCTCACCATTCTTGTGATCATGTTGACCCCACGGGGTGAGATCTTGCGTGGAGCCCCAGATCGAGGGAGATTATCAGTGGTCTTGTGTATCCTCCATTTTCTAATTATTGCTCCCACAGTTGATTTCTTCACGCCAAGCTGCTTGCCTATTGCAGATTCAGTCTTCCCAGCCTGGTGCAGGTCTACAATTTTGTTTCTGGTGTCCTTCGACAGCTCTTTGGTCTTCACCATAGTGGAGTTTGGAGTGTGACTGTTTGAGGCTGTGGACAGGTGTCTTTTGTACTGATAACAAGTTCAAACAGGCGCCATTAATATAGGTAATGAGTGGAGGACAGAGGAGCCTCTTAAAGAAAAAGTTACAGGTCTGTGAGTGCCAGAAATCTTGCTTGTTTGTAGGTGACCAAATACTTATTTTCCACCATAATTTGCAAATAAATTCTTTCCAGATCAGACAATGTGATTGTCTGGATTTGTTTGCTCATTTTGTCTCTCATAGTTGAGGTCTACCTATGATGACAATTACAGGCCTCTCTCATCTTTTTAAGTGGGAGAACTTGCACAATTGGTGGCTGACTAAATACTTTTTTGCCCCACTGTATGTAAAGGTATAAATCAGCTCAGAAACATTGGCTTAAGGACAGAAGCAAACATTTGATGATCTGAATTACATAAACAAATGTTGCTAAATGTTAAGCAATGCACATAGCAAGCTTTTCAAGACATTCCACTCACTGAGTTTAAAACAATGTATAATTTCATATAATTACAAATTTATCATATAAAATATTTAATAATAATCTTTTAACATAAACGTAATGTATAACTGAAAATAGAATACAAATTAAGGAGTCTGGGTGTTTTTATCAAGACACATTTCCTATGACCCTAAGATAAAGATGAAATATATGATCGGGAAAGATGCAAAAGTTACCAGTAGAAAGATAGTGTCAAACTCACACAAACATAAATACAATATCTCAGGTTAGAGGCAATGAATTTGCAATTAGACATGACTGGAATTATATCAAATGGATATAATTTTGAATTTCCATCTCTATAGGAAAAAATCAGAGATTGTTACATTAGATAGCACCTAATAGCTTTTTTTCCTCTTTTCACTTATGAGTATTCTTAAAAAGTAGCCTCATTACAAGCCTGTGATAAGCATTCTGGAACTGCTAGCAAATGCTGCCCTCTTTCATTGCTATTTATTTTTGAAGGGATTGATGCCAGTAGCATAGTCCCCAATGAGCTTAAGTTTCTTCTAGGTAGACGAGCACCTTTATATTGGCTGGTTTGCCAAGCAATCTCCTGGTCACAAATTCCCTCTGCTAAAACTTACAGGGCCTAGCTCAGTGAGACCGAGCGCCCCAAAACCACCACCACCCCCGCCCACAAGGCCACCCATCGCCTCCACCGCCTGCCGCCGATCGCCCAGACGGCCCAGCAGCGCCCGCAGCATCATCTGTGGGCGACGGGGCGCGAGGGCGGAATCTTGTCCCCGCTGCCCGGTTGCCACCCAATTGAGCGCTCAATGGAATTTTGGGAATGGACCGCCCGCCCGTTCCCGACGTTGTCGCGACGTGTTTAAAGCACGAGCGGCGGTTGAAGCGGCGGAAGCGCGCCGCGCGTGCGCCCATGAAACGGCGGGGTGGGGTCAAAAGCGGAGCATTACTCAGCCGGCTGAGTGTAACAGGTATCGGAAGCGCAAGGGGCGGGGGGGGGTTACCAGGAGACGCCGAGGAGCCGAGAGGAGATATTATTGTGGCAAACCGGTAGGGGGCAGCGCGTCCAGGGAAGCTGGTGGCGTCCCGTCGGGGCCGAGAGCACTAGTGCTCGTCTGCTTACTTAAGAACTCACAGCTGGTTGCACCTGCCAAACAGTTACGGGGCGGGTGGGCGCGGAGAATCGCCCCGTTGCCAGTCTGGTTGATCATTGGCCTGTCTGGCTTGAGAGGGAAAAGGAGGCGAGGTAGCGGGTGAAGCTGAGAAGCGAGTTGAGGAAACCGGGAAGGAGAGAAGGAATGAGAAAAGGCAGGCAGTACACTTTCTGGCGCTCACAATTTAGCTACCGTCATGACCTCTAGGAAATTCCTTGGGCGCAGGAGGAAAAAACCAGAATTTCTCGCAAAGGTACAGAGACCGCGTAGGGCATAAGGATAAGGAGGCACCCTTTTGGCAGATGTACTTAGCAACTTTGGGGTTAATTGCACAGGATGAGGGAGTCAAGAGACAACTTTTCTGAAATGGGGGTTCAGGTAATTTTATGAAGGTTGAGGGGAGATGCGATCATTCCCAGTTTCTGTTAACCCTCCAAGTGGAAAGTACAAATAAACAAGATTTATTGTCTTTAGAAGTTTATGTATGTGTAAGCTAGTTCTCAGAAGAAAATATATAGATGCAAACACATGGTATGAATATTACATAACTTAATTATCATATTTTTAGGAAAAAGTGAAAGGCTGGAAATTCATGTTTCAAACAAAACAATTCTCCCAATCTGGCCATGTCTGCATTCTTCATTGTTTTTTGTTTTTTTAGAAAAACTCAACAGTCCATTGTTACAGTTCAGGTACAGATTTCTCCTTCTGTTGTGGTATGACCATTCTTTTTCCCATTTCCATGTTTGATAAATCCATAATAGATTCCAAATTCTAGTGATATAGCCAAGAACATGCACTTTTAAAACACAGCAATTAATTTGGAGGGGATAAGCCTTTTTTAAAAAAAAAATCCTTAGCATATGTGGGAAATATCTCAGCTTTTTGATATATACAGCCATCCATTTCACCATGGTGATACTGAGCAGCTGACAACACAAGCAACAACAAAAGTAGAATACCGACTGATCCACTTGGGTCACTGTTAGATTCATCATTTAAAAGTATGTTAATATTTTTTTCTGAGAGTCCTCATAAGTAGTTAAACTGCATTTCTTTGTGTAGTTCATTTCTATTGTTGTTTTAAAAAAACCTTCTTAGGAAGATAAACTTACAGTTTTCCCATGTATCCAGTTCACCTTTTCCCAATCCATTGAGGCAGCTGTCCCTGTGATACTTCCAAACTATCTTGATTTTATTTGACATTTTATAAAGTAGGGGAGGCTGTGGGACAGAATTGTTGACTCATACAACTGAATAACCAAAATATGCAAATTAGTCTTTAGTGGTTGACTGGATTGTTCTGCTGTTTGGTGATTTAATTCCATGAAATTAATTTTAAACAAGCACATAAGGGTTTGGATTGCATCTGAAATACTGTCACAGGTTCTTTTATCAAAACCCAAAGTCAGTGGGCTCCCAAAACTAATACAAGCACCCTTGGCCTTTAGGTAACACATACACAATCACACACTGGGTAGTAATAATAGTTTCTTCTTACATACTTCCCCAGATCTATTATTACTCTTACTACTAGTATAGTCTACTAGTATAGCCTACTACATTTTATGAGCCCTACTGCTAAAAATGATATTTCTGTCTATTAACTGTAGGCTGCTATCAGTTGCTTTAATTCCACAAAGTAACAGAAACCACCTCCCATTCCTCTCCCAGAACAACTGCCATGCACCCACTACATCACTGCACTCTGCTGCTTTTCTGCTTGTTGCTGAGTGGCTACAGAAAGGTCTTAAAGGAGCAGAGCACTATCAGCCCAGCTGCTAGCTAATTTTCAGGCAGCCTGTCCTCTCACAAATAACCTATTTCTCTTTAAATATAAAATTTGCTATTATTGATAATGAATATTTTATACTTTAATTTTTATACTGGTCTCGAGTTTTTAATTCACATTTAATAGTTCCATTATTTGATCACTTTTAAAGAAGTATCACAGAATAATTATCCTCTTATTCAATGCAATATTAAGTGCATGTATTGGAATAAATACCAGTTGATACACCATATTGACATTTATGCTAACCCCATTCTGAATAACTTTGGGTACATACTGCTTTTCTAGTTTCATTTGGCTCCTCTGATCAATGCATGTGACTAATTTTGTGAACCCACCAAAGCCTAATTTGCAGCCAACTGCTTATTATGGGTATGACTATTTGCAAGTAATTATCCATTGGTAAAGTATCAGATGGGTATATAACAAAGTGTCCAAGCCTTAGTTTGATTGTTATCAAACCTGTGGCTATTATCCAAGATATTTTTCTGTTAATTAACTAGCTGACACTTCCTGAAAAGTATCATGATGATGTATACTATAATTACTATCTTTGTTTCCCTGCTCTTAATTGTTATTTGTATATCTATTATATCTTTAAACTTGATGATAAATTCTCCATCTTTTTAAAATTTTTCCATTTGATTTCAGTAAAATGTTATGCCCATTCCTGCAATAGTAGATCTTGGTTACAGTTACTCATGCTTTACTCACCTCCAGACTGGATTACTGCAATGCACTCCTCATAAGGCTGCCCTTGAAGAGTATCCCGAAGCTTCAGCTGCTACAGAATGCAGCAATGTCGGCAGTTATGTGCATTCCTAAAACAGTGCATGTTATACAGTGGTGGGATTCAGACAGTTCGCACCAGTTTGGCAGAACCGGTAGCTAATTTTTTGTTGCCCATGCCCAGAATGGACTTCTGGAAGTGGCATCCACACAGAGAACTGGTTTTTCACATATTTGAATCCCACCACTGATGTTATACCTCTGCTATGAGAGCTGTATTGGTTGCTAGTGTATTTATTTATTTTATATGCTGCCCATTTCATTCTGAAAGGTGGGCAGCATATATATTAAATAAAGTTTGTTTTTGAGCCCAATTTAAGGTGCTGGTTTTAACCTTTAAAGCCCTTCATGGCATGTGACCAGGCTATCTGAGGGAACATTTATTCCCAGTTACATCAGCTGCCCCATTAGATCTGGCAGAGAATGCATGCTATGGGTATCATCACCTTCTCGGCCATGGTGCCCACCTTATAGAATGTTCTTTTCAAAATCAGATTTTTTAAATTATTTTTTAACTTGCCTCATTTACATAATGCTTTCTGATTTAAACTAGTAGCATTTTGTCTGACTTAAACCAGTAACATTTTCTCAAGATTCCACCTATGTCCCCAAACCTAAAAGGTTTCTCATGATCTATGTTAATCTTACACAATATTGTTTCTCCTAGATATGCTGAACTACATTTCTATAATTCTATAATTCATCACTACCTTAGACGAAAACCAAGTTGAAAAAAGTTAATCACTGATACTGAATTACTAATTAAAATTTTGACAGACTGCCCCATTTGCATACTTCCTTCAGTATGGTACAGAATAAGTAGTACTTAAGTATGATTTTCCCAAAAATTTCTGAATCCATTTTAATTTAGTCCCTATTGAACCCTGTCAATTTTATTTTCAAGTAAAGTTGAATAAATTAGGCTAAATGTATTTTCATCTGGCAGTAACACAAAGCTTTTAGCTAAATGTAGCAATAAATACCACAAATTTTGATTGAAGTTATTTTTAATTGTTTTATAGAGAATCACAAGAGAAGAGCTTGCATTAAGAGGACCATTTACTGAAAGTGACAGAACTTCAAAATCTGAAGACAGCTTTAGAAGCAAAGACAAAATAATCCAGGAACTGCTCTTAGAGGTGTTGTCATATATTTATACTATTTTGTAACAACCATATATATGGAATAAACTTCCACTGACATTTAATTCGATTGCTATAATGTGAGAAAATGGTTTTGTATTCTCCATAGAGACGAAGAGACAAGATCATCGCCTATGATCAGTGATGACATTTTATCATTATGACTCAGTACCTTTTATACTAATGGTCTCTTACTATGTGTCTCCAGAAGAGTAAGATCACTTACTTATGGATACTATGGAGAGAAGCTAACCACCTAGATGTATCAAGACTGTTTAGCTCTTGTCAGTCTGAATTCAGACCTCATGGCAAAACAAGGTTGATGGTTTATTTAGAAACAGATAAATATTGTGCTTGTCACTAAGGAAGGAAGTGTCAAACTTGATGTAGGTTGTTGATTTCAAGGATGCCTATATGCCTATGGATAATAGCTACAACAGGGATTTATATTAATATTAGATGATATATCATTTATTGTGTTTGAGTGTTCTTAAGCTTAACAGTATTAGTAGCAGAGAAGGCCATAGATAATTTTCAAATATCCTGAAGTTACTAGATGGTTTAGTATGTCATCTGAACAGTAGCCTATGTTCAACTATTTTAATTCTGGAAAGAAGATATCAAATTTGGTATAGATTTAGTAGGACAGAATTTGAAAACTATATTCTCATTTAGATGCCACATTTATAACTAAAGTTACCATGCATCTTATAGCATAATCGAACTTGATGATAATAAAACACAGTTTTGAAGTCCTTGGAGAACAATCAGTGTAAATAAAATGGTTTTCTGGGAGAAAATTTGGTAGAATTTAAATACTTCCTGCTCATTATGCAGGATAAATTTCCATGTTCCTTTACTTTGTGCTAATTAACTTAGGTAACTTGCTTTTTAACATAGTATAGAGATCAAATGTAGCTTAAATCTACAATCATCATCATCCTAGTGTTTTTCCCACAGGTGCGGGATCCACTAGCTTGAACCTTCAGTATCTCTCCAAAGTAGGTTTTCTAAACAGTTTAGTGTATAACGTTGGCAAGAATTTATTACTTAGAGAAATTATTCAAATCTTAGCACTAAACCTAGTTTTGTTGCTTTTAGTCTGTTTGACTTTGCTGCTTCATAAATGACAGATGACCCACATTATCCCAAAATAAAAACTTTCTACTGCTGAGATCTCTTGAGATCCCCAAAAAGTTCAGAATATGTAAAAATCAATGATATTGGGCCTTAATTTATAGGATTAAAACCATTCTATCACTAGACATATGTGAATTATATTCATATTATAAATAATCTATCTTTTTCAGAACAAAGTGGAGAGTAAGTTATGGAGATCAGATAGTTTAGTCTAAATTTTGAGTTCCAGAATATAAACGGAAGTAAACTGTGTTCCGTAAAATATATCTTTGAACATTTCAATTAATTTACCTATTAACCTAAATGTAATAAATTGGTGTTTAACTTCAGAAAATTTAATTCTGACCATAGCCAATTATAAATACTCCTTTTTTACTTAGGGCTATATGTGGCAATTGTGCTGTCCCATAAATCAATATTGTGAAGCTTTTCCCACATTGTGAAGGTTTTCCCATATTAGACTTAACTATGATTTAGCTCAAATTGCAAAAACGTAGCTATTAGTGATACTAGTGCTATGTAGATTTGTTTTTAAATGCCCTGTTTTCTTATTCAACCTATCTCATCCCATCTCCGACTTCCTTAACTGAGAGCTCGCTTAGTATATTTTACAGAGAACAAAATTAGAGAATGTAAATTAGCCTAGGCTATTTCACAAGTACCAGTCGAAAATGGCCTGATTTTATTTTCTAGTCTATGTATACTGCACGAACTGAACTCTTCACACTTTATCATCTTCCAGTCTTTGGGTTTAAGTAAGTACTTTGTTCTTCCCTCATCTCCCGAGAGCGAATAAAAACTACAAGCTACAGTAAGAGTGTAGTTCCTGCAAAATGTGGTGGGTTGCAAAATTGCAGTGTAATTCCCTCAGTGTAGCTTTAATTGAGAATGTACATGCAGCAAAAATGATTCGTTGATGTTCAGGCAGCATTTCCTTATATCAGCAACTTGGTTGTTTGCCAAATAGTGAGATATTTTTTCTTCTTTGTATTTGGAAAGGCTAGAGAGAGTTTTATTTTAGCAAGAGGGTAAGCTAGTAGCTGAATTATATTTTGTATTCTCTGTGGTTAATTGGTTAGAGGGAACACTGGTTTGTCCACAGCTTTCCTTGCCTGTTTTCAATGTTTTGTGTTCAGTAGCAATTAGAACAATCTCATAGCTGATGGCTGACCTAAAATGCTTTATAGAGATTAGTAAGTGGAAATAATGGCATGTGCAATGCCTTACTTCATACAATATATTAATAAATTTGTTTCTGTGATAAAAGAAATATAAAAATTTGTTTGTCTCACCAGATTGAACAACTAAAAACAAAAAATCTTGATTTGGAGAAGCATGTTAGGAAAATACTTAATAGTAAAGAGAAAGTAACGACCCAAGTGGACAATTTGACCAGTGAGAATGAATATCTTTGTAAAGAACTTGCTCATGTAGATAAGATAGCTGAACAACTGGAAAAAGAAAAAGAGTTTGTACTTGATAGTGCTGGCCAGGAACTTTCAGAAGCCAAGGTATTTGATTTATTACATGAAATGTTTTATGCATGCAGTGCAATTACGGTATAATACATGTTGCATTGTTAGTTTTAACAAATGGAGAAACTGGAAGAAAAAATGCAGTAAACACAATATTATGGGTAATCTTTGGCTTATATCTATTTATTCAGTGACCAAAATTATGTCAGTGCTGAAAAAGTCATGTTATAACTGGTTCTCAAGATTCCAGCTGTAGAAATGCTCCTGCATTCACATGATCATGAGCCAGGCACTGAAGTGTCCAGTTCACAATTACAGTGTCGCAACAAGCCACATCACATGATCCCCATTTGCAGCTTCCCTGCCAGCTTTCCACAAGCAAAATCAATGGGGAAGCCAGCAGAGAAGGTTGCAAATTGCTCCATTAAGTTGTTCCCACTACATTTTTTCCTGAGGAGTTCTATACAGAATACAATATCCCAGAAATTTCATATTCCATATCACTGCCTAACCAAACACATCCCACTGTCCCACCTGCATTCCATGACACTTATCTGTGCCCCTCCCCACCTGCCATCACTACACTTGCCTACACCCTTTGCTGGCCCTGCCATGGCCTCTGCTAACCTACCCAGAACCTGCTCTGCCAACCTACTTGTGGACCTCACCAATCCACCCACATTCAGTATTGCTTGTCTGTGGTATCCCTTACTCCCACCATACTCCTTACCTGATTCCCATTTTTCCTGCATTACAACAGCAACTGGGATTGCTATTGCTAAGGGATGTGATTGCATGATGTACGTTATTACTACCTTAATTAGTGATGTCAATCTTGGTCCTAAATGCTCTCATAAACAGAATATCTGTATTGTTCTAATTACATTGTAAGATTATTGTATCCATGATTTCAGATATGCATGCATAGTTTTATATAGAGTGATTGCTTTTCAATGAAAGATATGTAAATACATGATTTCTGTAGGGATGAGGGAAGTGAGCACATTATTTCTATCTTTGCTACATATCTGGTATTTCACCATAGCCCATATTGCTATTTCAGCTTATGGAGTAATTGCAATACATTATTGTCACGTAAATAATTAAATATTTTTTCTTTCTAGTCTCAGATTAAATGCCAACAAAATACTATTAAAAAATTGGAACATACGGTCAGCATTCTTAAATCTGTAAGTTTTACATGTCTTTCCTTTGCTCATATATATTATTTTACTTGTGTTTTAAAACTGATACTTATTTTACTTGACATTTAAATTATTTCATTAAAAAGTTTAGGATACTGTAAACCTATGAATAGTATAGACTCATAACACAAACTCCACAATAACTAATTAAAGAGAATTAAATTATCTCAACAGCATATAGATGAAAACTATAAATATAATATAATAGTAGAAATGCTAAAAGATCAGGTAAAAATAAAATAAAAACATCAGAGTACTGAATAAAATGATATATGAAATGATATTTTTATATATATATAAATTCATTCTGGTTAATTTTTAAGGGTAGCCTTGTGTAGAATGAATTGTAATACAGTAATCCAAATGAGAAATGAGAAGGTCATAAGTGACTTGCTTCAGTGCATGCAGATTAGACTGCAGTTAACATACAGCTCAGACTGAATGAAGGCATTCCAGGCCGGAGCCTCTACCTACTACTCCAGGAGTTGGGTGTCCAGGAGAAACTCCAGATTCCAAGTCTGGTCTTGCTGGAAGAACATGAAAGAATGAGATATGAAAGTAAGACAGCATGAGCAAAATAGTGGATGATATACATGTTAAGTAATTTATACAGGTAATAATGTCTCTTTTCACAACTTTCAATTTTATGATCATCATGGCTTTTTAGCAAATTTTCTTAGGAAATTCATATGAGAATAGAGTAGAGTAGAGTAGAGTAGAATAGAATAGAATAGAATAGAATAGAATAGAATAGAAACTTCATTCTTCAATTAAAAAAATAAATTTGGTCGATTCTGTTAAATTTTTAGATTAAATATTAACATTCATTATTTACCAATCAGTGGAAATTGTTTTGTTTTCTCTTGTCAGCCTTTACTTAACAAATTCATACAATTAATAATTTAAAAAAAATGACAACTTTGGATTAAAAGTAAATAAAATATTTAGATTCTTATGCAGAGAATTTCTGTAAAAGTATAAACATGGGATTTAGTAATTGTGTTTTTTCACATGCACATAAAAGGCAGCCTTGGATGTTGAAAAGTCAGACGAAAAGCTCAACAATTTTATAAAAACAATAGAAGAACAGAAAGATTATTATAAATCTGAAGCAGAAAAGTTGAAGAAGATGTATCGAAGTACAAGTCCTAAGCGCAGCCCATCTTGTTCTATTTCAAAGGTTTCCTCCCCAATTCAGGTATATATTTTTGTTTTTTAAAATACAGAAAGTATGCATTTAATTTTTATTGCTTAATTATATTGAAGTTATAAGATTTAAAAATTAAATAGACCTTATTCTCCAATGAATTTATATAATAATGTAAAGTCTTCAAGCTTACTTGATTTTTGGCAAACTGAAGGATATATCCATATAGTTTTCTTGGCAACACTATTAATGTGGTTTGTTAATAATGCCTTCTTCTGAGGCATAATTTTTAAATTTACTTCAATTTGTTTTATAACTATGGAATTCTCTGATGGCATAGCCAGATCAGACACTGCTTACCTTTCAGTTTCCATCCCAATATGTACAAAATTTAGCTATCCCACTTACCTAAGTAAGTAAGAAGTTACCTACTCTCTTTAATCATAATTGCCTGTATTGCAAGGATAGATCGATGATGGTTTAGCAAGAGAATTATTGTGCTAATGGCAACTGGAAGAAATATATGACATTTTCTCATTTTTCCTTTATGATAAATAAGTAAGAGCTATATATATTTCAAATCTCCATTTAAAACATATACTTACTTATGGTAAAATAATTATGAAATTAATACAAATGTTTAAATAGTTTGAAATTTGGAATATTGAAAACTAAATTTATGTACAGTTCTCCCTTCCAAAAAAGAAAGAATTTCAAAATGTGAATATAGAATCTTATAATAAATTTAAAATATTTGGCAATGGACATTTTATCTCCATTAAACATTTAGGGAAGTCACTGTGATAAAGAATATCTGCAAATTTTGATAGAACGTGATGAGTTTAAGACAATGCTGGAAAAATATCAACGTCACATAACAGAACTCCAGGGGACTATCAAAGTTCTCATGGCAGAAAGAGACAAAGCTGTTTGTCTTTATGATCAGGTAATTTTTGGATAAAGCATTTTGGTAAAAACAATTTTTGATATATTACAAAGGATTATATAAGTTTCAATATATTATAAAATGTCTGTTAAGTATTTAGGATAATCTCAAATAGCCTTATAGGTATTGCCTTCCCCTAAGATAGATAGTATTGTAAGTTGGAATTGTCAATAACACTCCCTACATTTTGGAATCCCTGTCTGAAGATATCTCTGCAGCTTTATATTTTAACCAACTTGTTAAACTGTTTTGCTCTTCTGGTCTTTTGATGGTTTGATTTTTTTTTGTACAAAGGAAACAAGTTTTGTAAATTATGTTGGGGTTTTTTTGGATCTTTTCTTCCATATTTGTCTTATATGAGGGCCTTCTGAGATGACCGGGGCAGGTCTTAGCCCAGTTTTATGGGATGAATTTGAGTCTGTGACTGCTGAGGATGTTGACAGAGCAGTGGGAGCGATGAGCGCCTCCATTTGTTTATTGGACCCGTGTCCTTCCTGATTGGTCTCGGCCGCCAAGGAAGTGACACGAGGCTGGCTCCAGGTGTTGATCAACGCTTTGTTGAGGGAGGGGTCTTTCCCGCAACCCTTGAAGGAAACGGTTGTGAGGCCCCTTCTCAAGAAGCCTCCCCTGGACCCGGCTGATTTAAATAACTTCCGCCCAGTCTCCAATCTCCCCTTTTTGGGGAAGGTTGTAGAGAGAGTGGTGGCGCTCCAGCTCCGACAGTCTCTGGATGAAGCAGATTACCTAGACCCTTTTCAATCTGGCTTCAGGCCCGGCTTCAGCACAGAAACTGCTTTGGTCGCGCTGATGGATGATCTCTGGCGGGCCTGAGACAGGGGTTATTCCTCTGTCTTGGTGCTACTTGACCTCTCAGCGGCTTTCGATACCATCGATCATGGTATCCTTTTGCGACGACTTGGGGTGGGAGTGGGAGGCACCGTTTTACGGTGGTTCTCCTCCTATCTCTCTGGCCGGTCGCAATCGGTACTGGTGGGGGGGCAGAAGTCAACCCCGAGGCCCCTTGAATGCGGGGTGCCGCAGGGATCAGTCCTCTTCCCCCCTCCTATTTAACATTTACATGAAGCCGCTGGGTGAGATCATCAGACAGCACGGGGTGAGGTTTCATCAGTATGCTGATGATACCCAGCTATGTATCTCTTCCCCGAGCTCTCTCAGTGAAGCGGCTGATGTGATGGGCCGTTGCCTTGAAGCCGTGAGGGTCTGGATGGGGGTTAACAGACTCAAGCTCAATCCTGACAAGACCGAGTGGCTTTGGATGTTGCCTCCCAAGGATCATGTTAACTGTCCAGTGTTGCCTCTAGCAGGGGAAAATATACCCCCTTCGGAGCGGGTTCGCAACTTGGGTGTCCTCCTTGATCCACAGCTGAAATTGGAACATCATTTGACGGCTGTGGCTGGGAGGACCTTTGCACAAGTTCGTCTGTTGCACCAGTTGAGACCATACCTGGACCGGGAGGCTCTCCTTACAGTCACTCATGCCCTTGTCACCTCACGCCTGGACTACTGCAACATGCTCTACATGAGGCTACCCTTGAAAAGTATTCGGAGACTACAGTTGGTCCAGAATGCAGCCGCGTGAGTGATAATGGGTGTTCCTCGGTACACCCACGTTACACCTATCCTCCGTGAGCTGCACTGGTTGCCTATTGGTCTCCGGGTCCAATTCAAGGTGTTTATTTATTTATTTATGAGACTTATATACCGCTTTAATGCGAGCACTCTCTAAGCGGTGTACACCAGTAAGCAATGTATATATATTTACATTGCCCCCAACAATCTGGGTCCTCATTTTACCTACCTCGGAAGGATGGAAGGATGAGTCAACCTTGAGCCGGTGAGATTTGAACCGCTGACCTGCTGAACACAGTCAGCTAAAGTGGCCTGCAGTACTGCACTCTAACTGCTGCGCCACCTCGGCTTTATTACCTTTAAAGCTCTATATGGCTCAGGGCCAGGCTACTTGCGAGACCGCCTTCTACCTCATAGTTCCCTTCGTCCGGTTAGATCCCACAGGCTGAGCCTCCTTCAGGTCCCGTCGGCCAAGCAGTGCCATTTAGCGGGGCTGCAGGGGAGGGCTTTCTCTGTGATGACGCCCACATCTTGGAACCAGCTCCCCCCGGAGATTAGGACCGCTCCCACCCTGTTGGTTTTCCGCAAGCTGCTTAAGACCTGGCTTTTCCGGCAGGCCTGGGGTTTATAAAATCTGACCCCTGGATGAATGTTATTGTATTGTCTGTTTTGTTAAATTATATTGTGTTTTTATTGTTAACCGCCCAGAGTCCTGCGGGAGTGGGGCGATCTATAAATTTTAATAAATAAATTAAAAATAAATAAAATAAATAATACTTTGTGCATTGCTGATAAGGAAATGATTCATAAATTAGGAAAGTAAAAGATGCAGTGAGTGATAAATTTACAGAAGTTATCTTTCTCCTGTGGTCTTATATAGAAACCCTAATGAGATAAAAAAAATACATAAAATATCCCTTGTTTTTAAGGTAATGGGTTTATTTTATTTAGCAACTTTTTCCATAGTAGCTAGTCAGATTATTTTTTGACAAGACTGTTATTAATAAGTTAAAAGTGAAAGATCTCCATGAATTTATATTTATCAACAACTTATATTCAATAGTAGACTGCCTTTGAATACAGATGTCATTATTTATTGTAACTCACTGATAGACCTATGTTATACCATCCTTTATCCTTTGGATTTTGAATATGAGGAATAAAACCATGTAGAAAAATTGCTATAAGCAGTTCCTATGCCAAAAGAACGATAGAAGAATAGCTTGCAATATGTACACAGATAGGTAGATGTGTTAAGACTAATGCTTTTTCCCCTGATTTTAGGGAAACCAATTTATATCTTTCTTTTAGCAAACAACAGACCATGTAGTCGCATAGTCTTTAGCTCATATAGTTATCTTTTATTAAACTTACATTTTTATCTCATATTATAGATAATATTCACATAATATATTTTGAATTTATGTGATTTCCTAATGTATGTTATACCCAATCAGCAGATGCCCTAACTTATAAATCCTGGAAGGAAACAGATAATGCTGAAGAATAGGGCTATGGGTGCATCTTTTCCTTCATCTCCTAAATTTGCTAGTCCTTGTTATGGCAGAAGTGGATCTATTACTGTTATTGAAGAAAAAAATCAATTATCTCTTAAGTCAAATTATGTACAAATTATGGGGAAGAGTTTTAGTTTTCAGGTCAACCACCAAATGTCTAGGATCAGATCTGTTAATAAGTTAAATATTCAGTAAATACTTAGCACAAATCGATGCTAAATATTAATTTTAAACACCAGGCACAGGAGGAAGTAAATCAACAAAGAAAAGAACTTATGAAAATCCCCAAAGCTTCTACAACTGCAGTAACTGTTCAGGCTGTATTGAGACGTGTGGAAACAGAAAGGGATGCAGCCATTTCTGATTTTCGAAGGATGGCCGCTGAACGTGATAGCTTGAGAGAGAGGTTAAAGGTTTGACTTTTTATCCAAACTCATTTAAGTAGTATATGCATATTATACCATATTCCCAAAGATTTAATCTACTAAATTAAAATTTAGGACACTGAAAAATAATTTAATGATTTTTGTTTCATAGATTGCACAAGACACTGCATTGAATGAAAAGGCTCACCTGGAACAGAGAATTGAGGAGCTGGAATTAAATATTCAAAGCGTAAGAAAAATGTTCTTGAAATATATTGATAAATGTTGACATTAGTAGCTAAAATGTATGAATATAACAACTTGATAAGATATATTGAAATACCTTTTTGTACAACTTCATTAATTATGACAAGCAAGCCAAGAGCTTTAAGCCAGTTTGGTCTAATATTTCAGGTGCTGGATTAGAAGTGTAAGGGGGGGGTCCAAGTTCTACTCCTGCCTTAGGCATGGAAACTCATTAGGCTATTCACTTTCAGCCTTGAGACATGGCAAACCACTTCCAAAGACATTGCCAAGAAAAATATATGTACTTCTTCAGGCAATCATCAGGGGTCAAGATTAACTTTATACATAAAGTATACATAACAACATAAGAGAAATCAATTCTCAGGCTACACTTGGCAGCTATATAAACATTCAACAACTTGTATGAATTTGTATAAAAGAGGTGTACACATTTAGCTATCTTTGTTGTTGTGTGGTTGAGCTTGTGGATAATAGAGTTCAGATATTGGAAAAAAAACCTCTTGGTTTTGGCAGTATATTGATTATATACTTATTCCTAATTCTGCAGCTCACACTATTGAGCATCCTACCAGAAAGGCAATTCCTTTAAGTGAAATTCTGAAGCTCAACAAACCTTCCAGTTTTGTGCTGTAGCACATGGCCAAGGAATTGCGGAGCTCCGCACCCCATTGCTGGTTTAACCCTGCCAGAGGACCCTAAATGAGTCTAAAGTTGCCCTAGAGAGGTGACAAAGAAGGAGGGACCCCCATGGGTCACGGAAAGACGGCAATCAATCCGTTTGATCCAGGGAAAGCCCTCCAACCTGGCAGGAGAAAGGCTAGCTGCACACCAGTGACTAACCTAAGCTACCAGCAGGCGAAGTCCAAAGGGATTAACTAGAACAACCGTGAATAGTATGCTTGGACTTGGGTGAGAATGTCGATCTTCTCTCTTCTATTTTGTAACTGATTTCCTAAAAAAGATCCCCAAGAAGTAAAAAATCCTCCAAAAATGAGAAGGAAGGGGATCACATCCCCAGCCTTCCATAGATTGAAGTGGCGACTTAATTTTTATGGGGGAAAGAAATATATTGAAATGAACTTAATAATACTACAGTCTGGATTAATCTGAAAATCATGAAAACTGTTAAGACTTTACATCTGAAACAGTATTGATGAATTTACAAGAAAATAACTTTTTGCTTTAAAAAGAATGGCTACTGACATCTAGTGGAGGATTAGAGCATAGAACAATAGCTGCATTGACTCAGAAATTGGCAAGACGCCAAGAAATAACAACTTGTTCCTTTGAACCTCAGTGATTTCTCACCAAATAGAAAACAGCTGGGAACAGAGGAAAGAAAATACACTGGGCTGTCTGCTACAGAGTGAGAACTATATTTGTTTTTAAAACTGCTGACATTCTGGGATTATAAAAATTTACTGAGTTGTGATTTCTAAGCTTAAGAATTGTTTGCAGAGAAAGAAAAACCTTCACTTTTGGCTAATCTTCTAGGGGGGATTTACTGGAAAGCTCCTAGGTGGGGAAACATTCTAGACTCTAAATACGACTGGCTGATAATTGTAAGACCCCTGAATAGAAGAAATATTATAAAATGCTGCTTTTAATGGTGCTTTGGAATTGGAAACGCATTGGATTATAAAGATAAGAACTAAATAAGATTTGATTGGTTTGACAAGGCTAATTACAGAGACCAAGGTACTGGTAAAAGACTATCTGGAGGGGGAGACAAAATGGATGTTACATACCTATGAAAAAGTGGCAGAAAACCACACTTAATATCTCTTTCTGAAGACCCTAGCCTGGAATATCAAAGCTCTGCAGGAGCAATACTTCAAGACAAGGCAAATGTTTTGGAGGAAGAAATGTATGCAATGCTGAGACAGATTCAAATGACAATGGTTTTAAATCATGATGAGATTAAAAACAACTTGTGACAACATAAATGAACACATCTTTAACTTAAACTTACAATTAAAAAACTTTCAGAAAACAATGACAAAGAATGAAAAAACAAACCAGATAACAGAATACAAACTAGAGGACAGGGACCTAAAGAGGGAAGCTACAAATGAAGAGAACTATAGTCTAATACAAACAAAAGAAAACTTGCAAGATTTTCCCATAACAATGGAAATGGAAAAGATATTTTATTTTTAGAACTTCAAAATAAACTTGAAGATAGGAAAGAAGATCTAACAAAATGGATTATAGAGCAGCCAGAAGAATTATTAGAGTTTGGGAGACAAAAAATGCACATTCTACCTAACTTGTCTTTTCTATCCCCAACAACATTCACAAAAAAACAGGAAGAATCTCCTGGCAACCTGAATACACTGACTCGGAAAACTACTTTGCAAAAGAAGAAGGCTAGAGTTAGATTCAAGAGATTTGATTCGACCTACCAGATGGAGTACTATATGATTAAATACTTGTATGAATATGGTTAAAAGAATAGATAAATCATGGATATAAAGGGATAAGATATATAAGTTGTATAGTATGCTTTATAATATATGAAATATAAAAATATTGGGAAGGTGTATGTCAATGAAAAGTTTGGATATTTAAAGGTAATTTGGATATTTAAAGGTAATTAACATTGAGAAAATTATGACTGATAAGAATGGTTTGAATATAGAGGGGAAACTAAACTTAAAAGAATTTTGAACACAGGATATATAATGACTTAATTATATGATTTTTATGAATATAAAAGATGTTATGTCCTGATGTTACTGTTATTTGTACAAACACAAGAAAAATATTTATATTCAACCTTGTATATATTGAAAGTATTAAGAACTATATTTACTTAATGTTGATAAAAGGAGAATACTATTGGAAGAAGAGAAGATTAAAGAAATATATCATTAATTAATAGATTGATTATGGAATTATAGAAATTATATATATATGTCTTTGGTTATTCAGGTTTTCTCCCGCGTAAAATTGGAAGTGTCTTGGCGACATTTCGACGAAGTCCCATTCGTCATCTTCAGGCTGGTGTTTTCAGCTTCCTGCTTCGAGGAGCAATGTGTGGTCTTAGCTGTTTCTTCCTTTTAACTGCCAGTGGGGGTATGAACTGATTGGGTGGGAGCTTGGCTGAGTTCTGATTGGGTGGAGGTGTGTTCTGATTGGTTAGGGGCTTGTCTGTGCTCTGATTGGGTGGGGGGTTGGCTGTTCTCTGATTGGATGGGGGGGTTGGCTGTGCTCTGATTGGATGGGGGAGTGTTCTGTTTGGGTGGGGGCTTTGTTGTGCTCAGGTTAGTCTGAGTTGCAGGGGGGTTTAAGATGGTGGGCTGCCTTGCTATTTTTTGGCTTCGCGTTCGTGGTCGTGCCTCATCTTCTTGGTGGGTGTCAGTTTGCTTCATGTATGGATTGGAGGGGTTTAAAGTGGCTAATGATGCAGCTGGGCTGTAAGTTTTGTTTCTTTATGATCTCTATAAACTGGAATGAGTTTTTTATGTGTGAGGTGATGGATTCTGCATAGGGCTGTAGTTGTTTGGCGAGAAATTTGGCTAGGTTTTGTAGAGGTGAGCCTATGGAGCTCCTCCACCCAATCAGAACACAGCCAAGCTCCCACCCAATCAGTTAAAAGGAAGAAACAGCTAAGACCACACATTGCTCCTCGAAGCACAAAGCTGAAAACACCAGCCTGAAGATGACGAATGGGACTTCATCGAAACGTCGCCAAGACACTTCCAATTTTACGCGGGAGAAAACCCGAATAACCAAAGACATACATACATACATACATACATACGTACATACATATATGTAGGTCTTTGATTATTCGGGTTCTCTCCCGCGTCAAATTGGAAGTGTCTTGGTGACGTTTCGGCAAAGTCTTATTCATCGAAACGAAAAGATATATATATATGTGTGTGTGTGTGTGTGTGTGTGTGTGTGTTTCTATGTCGTATTGCCTTTGGGGTGCAGCTTTGATTTCGCCTTACAATTTTGTTTGTAAAAAACTGTTTAAGAGATTTGGAATAGTTTTCTCCCCTGCATGTCCTTTACCAGCAGCTATTATTAGTGAAGATAAGCTGGTGTTTTTAAGAAGGAGCTATTGATCATCAAGGAAGTCTTTCAGAATTGGGACCTTTTCCTCAGCTTCCATCCTGTGTCCTGAAATCTTTGTCTCACTCTAGTGAAACATTGGGAGCTGTATTCAGCAAAACAGCTGACATATTCTTATTTGCAGGCATAGATTATCTTAGTAAATCTATTTCCATTACACCCCCCCTTTTTTTTTTGCTGGGAGCAGACACAATTGTGCTCTTTTTAAACTCTTGGATGTGAAATTCCATCTCTCTAGATACCATCATCTACAACTGATGGAGAAACTGAGGAACAAATGCCAGAACAATATCCTCTGCCAGCAGAATACTTGGCCAGATATTCTACCATGGTAGCCTATAGTAATTTAATGCAAGGAGCTTTTTCTAAAATAAATATTAGTCCCCAACGTTTATCATAAAAGCATACTCCAATTTTGATGGGAAGACTGTTTTTAGAGGAAATTTACTTTGTTACTCTAGAAAAAGACTTTTTCTTCTACAGAAAATTAGGAATGCCAAATTTGAAGTAATCAAATGAAAGTGAAATAACTGTATTTCTTAATGATTCTTTATCAGCTTGACAATGAACGATTAGAACAAATATCGAAGATAGCACTGTTGAAGGATGCTATTGAGTCTGTAGAAAGGGAAATGAAAATATTGGCAAGAAGGGCAGCAGATTCTGAAAGTGAACTTAATAGACAGAAAGCAACTAATGCTTCACTAAGGTAAAGAAAATAGATTGAAACAATCATGTATGTATGTTATTCATTTAATTTAGGCCTAGATACAATTTAAAAAAATGTCTGATCTAAAAATGTGAAAATATATGTATTTGTTAATTATGGGAGCTCATTTCATACTGTAGTTTATTTATTTATTTATTTATGAGACTTATATACCGCTTTAAGTGCAAGCATTCTCTAAGCGGTGTACACCAGTAAGCAATGTATATATACATTGCCCCCAACAATCTGGGTCCTCATTTTACCTACCTCGGAAGGATGGAAGGCTGAGTCAACCTTGAGCCGGTGAGATTTGAACCGCTGACCTGCTGAACACAGTCAGCTAAAGTGGCCTGCAGTACTGCACTCTAACTGCTGCGACACCTCAGCTCTTAATATATATATAGATGCCTAACTTGAATATAGATGCCTATATTATATATATATTATATATGCCTATGCCTTGAATATATAGATGCCTAACTTGAATATTAAGGATTACTTCCTTTTTTAGACATTTTGTGGCAATATACATTTATCAATTTATAGCATCATCCAGTCACCACTCTGGTAGCAAAAAGCCTGAATCTATTACTGATACTTTACAACAGCAATGTCTGAATGATACTGTAAACTACTAAAGTATCTTATGTCTGAAACTATTTATTCTGTTGTAAGCGATGATATAGTCATTATCACTAAGTTATTTTTATGGGTACTGCTTATTTGGGTGCAAAGATTAATTTAAATGTCTTTATTTTTAGCATACTGAATGAAAAGATAGAACATAACTTTACAGAAGCAGAACGACAACTTTCAAAGAAAAAACATGAATTACAACTTACTCAAGAAAAAATTATGTGTTTGGATGAAAAAATTGGTACGTTTAAATAACATCTTTTAATAAAAACTTGTTTTTAGCTTTAAACGTATCACTTTTATTATATGTGAATTGCAAATTCGTTTACTAAGAATTTTCCTTTAAAACCCTTGAAAGAACTCTTTTATTGGATTCATTGTATGGATGGATGCCTTGATTTTATATCAAAAAATGATACAGAAATGCCTCACAATAAAAAGAATAAGATATAAAATGAATTAAATATAGTAAATTAATAATAACCATCATAAAGTATTCAGCATATTATTAAAATATTGTTAAAGAATTATTACATTGCTACTGAAATATGTTAGTTGATCATCTTAATCACTCTCATTTGAAATATGAAGCTATGTGGTTAAAAGTCCAAAGAATTGATGAGGGCAACTTTTTATGTTGTCAGTTGGGAAAAAATTGATCCTGAGGAAGTAGACAATCTTTGGTGAGGTGAGCTCTGTCACTGGTAGGCTTGGTTCTTGCGCCAGCAGACTAGTACAAATTAGCTCCAGGCCGTGGTGAAAGACTGATGGGAGGTAGAGATGCCAGATGCACAAGGAGCTGGCCTTGAATTTAGCTGTGTTGGGCAACTGTCAGCCAATCTCCAATTCTTCTTGGAGATGTATGATGGCATTGGTTGCTATTATTACTGTTATTAAATGTTGGATTATATTTATATATTTTGTTGAGATTTATCATTTTGTTGTAGATGTTATATACTAAATTTTTGTTACCTGCTTGGATTTTATTGATAAAAGCACCAGAAAAGTATACATAATTTGCTCTTAATATACGTACAATTCAGAAGACTGAAGTAATAACATGTGCTGATGCTCTTTCCTCATGTCATATCAAGTCATATTATTTTTCTAAAAAAAAACAAATTTGATTTTTTTAGTGATGTAAAAATAGAAATAAATACAATTTTATTAAAATAATATTAAATACTTGTTTTTCAAATTTATTTTAATTTGATTTATAATTTTCCTAGGGCAAAAGGAGACACTTTTCAATAGAGCTACTTTTTACAGTAAAAGTGCTGTGATTTTTATTTATTTATTTATTTATTTATCTTCCCACATTTTATTCAACAGTGGTTGCCAAAGCTACGTATTTATAATATGTCTTTATTAAAATGTGTTTTCTCACTTAACATTAGATATTCATTTAAGAACTTTCTTCTAAGAATAATGAACAGGTAGCAGGTAGGAATGCAGATATATTTAGTGATGGTGAAATTGCTGACTACAAACGCAAATTTCAATTGATTTAGATTAGTCTTATGGTATTTAAAATACAGTTCACAGAATCTCTAGTTAGAATTCTCAGCATGAGAAAGCTGGCTAGAAATTCTGGAATTGTAATGTTATTGCAACTCAAGGATCTAAGTTGAGGAAGGTTGTTTTACTTTTTAACTGTTGATTTTGGAGAAGTTGTATATTGTATGTTTACACTGAATGATCCTCACAATAGATTCTAAGAACTGTGTGTATTTGAATAGTAATTTTCATGTAATTTTTATAAAAATATATTTCTTTAATAGTTCCTTCTATTCAGTAATAGCAATATCAATAATTTGCGTTTATACGTATAAGTAGGATATTCCAAGTGTTTTAAACTGCTAGATTAACTTTTTCCCTGATTGTTCTGATCTTTGTTGAACAAAAAGTTAAGTCATCTTCTGAGCCATTGCTGTCTTTTTTCAAGTTTAGATTTCTGTTCTTCTCTCATTAAACAGCTCTGAAATAATCCTCCAATCTATTCACTGGTGCCTGGTAGTTTATGAATAATTGCCTACAGGTTTTCCAGCAGATCCTGCCAAAATCTAGCTCCTGCTGTTTGGACTGCTGGTACTGAAATTCAGCAACATCTGTAGTTTGATTAAGATGTGGGTTTTTGTAAAGAAGAGATTGACAATCTCTTACTTTGCTGAAGAAAAGGAAGTATTGTCATTACTATGGCAACAAATTCAAGCTTTCTATCATCTTGTTTTGCCATTTGACTAACAATATCTGTGGGTCTGCTGCCAGTATAGTTCATCTAGTGTAGCCTACCAGAAAGCTCCACCAAACTGGCAAACAAGTGTGGTCTCTGCAAGATCCATGCTGGATCATATGTACTTTATAAGTTCTTAAACATTAAGGATATTCGATGTATGCTTCTACCAAATTGTTTTAACTTAGTAACATGTTAATGCCCAATTAATGACTTAATAGCATCATCCAGTGATATTACAAAGTTTGTCCTCATTGGAGACAATTTAGCACAAGAATATTTAATTTTTAATCAGAAAGTTGATCGGGCTTTTAAATCGCACATTTTAAGAAGTGCCCTACTTCGAGTCTGGAAGAAGTATTATTATAGGTTAAATTATAAAATACCTATTTGGGGGATTCCTGGACATGCAATTGAGGGAATCTCTAAGGGGACGAATTTTGAAAAAATTTCGTATAAAGAATTACTTATTTGATTAGGTAATGATTGGCAATTAAAATCTTTAGATGTATTAAAGCAAGAAAATATTTTACAGTCATGGTTTCAATATTTACAAATAGTGGATAGGTGGACTTTAGATAAGAAAGTTAGAATAACATCAGGAGATGAAAATTTGGTAATTCAGATTAAAGATCAGAATAAGGCTCATATAAAAAGAATTTATAATGTGTTAATAGAATTGGATTCGGAAACGGAATTGGTTAAAGATTGTATGGTTAAATGGGCTCAGAATATTCAGGAACAGATCCCATTGGATTTATGGGAGATAATTTGGATCAGAAATGTTAAATTTACACAGGCTCAAAATTTAAGGGAAAATTTTTATAAAATGTTTTATAGGTGGCATTTGGATCCTAAAAAGTTGTCTTGTATGTATCCTAATTTACAGCCTAAATGTTGGAGATGTGGTAGTTCTGATGCAACCTATTTTCATATTTGGTGGACTTGTAAAAATATTAAGGCTTTTTGGATTATGATTTGGTGGAACATTCAAAATATTTTTAAAAGGAAGATAAAGTTTACTCCTCAACTATTTTTATTAGGGATTTTTGAAGATTTTGATGTTAAAGAAACTATTTTAATGTTGAATTTAATTACAGCAGCAAGGTTATTGATAGGTCAATATTGGAAGAAAGATTCGTTGCCTACATTAGAAGAATGGACACTTAAGGTTTCTAATTTAGCAGAAATGGCTAAAATTTCTGCTTATTTAAAGGATCATATACAAGAAAGATATATTATGGTATGGAGAAGATGGATAGATTATATTCAGATTAAATATGGAACTAAAAAATTCCATTTATTTTATGATTAAATCTTTAAAAAAGAAAAAATAATAAGTATTATTTTTTTATAATAATTGTTTATATAATAATTACTTACAAATGGATTTGTTTATAATATGTTATTAAGGTTTAAAGGGAGTTAAGGGTTAAGTATGATTTTAATTGTTGTATAAATTGTTAAATTTAATTAGATTATGTTTAATATATTCATTAAATTTAATTAGATTATGTTTAATATGCTTGTAATACCCTGTATTTGGCTCTGGGAAGTGGGATGGGAGTAGGGGGGTGGGGATGGGTGGGTTATTTTGTTAATTATTAATAAAACTTTTTAAATAAAAAATAAATAAAAAAGAATGGTTAAATAAATCTAGATGATGCTATGAAATACTAATGGGAAGTGACCAGTCTCTGTCAGTTGTTTTTTCTTGATTTAAACATGTAAACAAAATGTTTATTTGCTGCAAAGTGGCTAGTGGGAAAGAATTCACAGGCCTTTTGAGAGCAAATTTAGTTTTATAGAAATCAGAAATATAGAGCAGCAGGCAGCTCCTTAGAAAGCCTGAACTTGAACTATATAAATGATAATCAACATTCTGAATTGGGCTAGAGAACATACTGAATGGTGTTTGGAAACCTCAATGTTTCAGAAATATCATTCTCCAAATCATGCACAAAAACGGGTCTCCTGCCATTCTCGAGCTGAAGTCTCATTCTTGCAAGACCTGGGGAAAAGAAAAAGGTTCCTAAAAAATTGTGAGAAAGGGATACCATCTTGCAGAAGAAACAGGAGGCCAGCTTGCAAAAGGAATGTGACATTGCTTGGGGAAAGAACATGAAGCTAGCTTAAGGAAGGTGTGGCACATGTAGCTGATGGGATACGCAGCTTGAGAACAGCATGAGGTGGCAAAGGCCAGGGGTGTGGGGCTTGAGGAAGCACTTCTCAGTGGCAAAGGCAAGGGCTGAAGTACAGGTCTGGGGATAGTGGCAGCTGGCTGAAACTGCTGAAGGCCCCAGGCCTCTACTTCAGCTCCAGCCCCAGTGCTGCCACTGTGTAATGCCACTCTGCAGGATATCCAAATGGGCATAGAGTTATGCATAGATTGGTAGAGGAAATAGATGGTGAGGGGGTTGTATTGTTCCTGCATTCATAAATACGAGTGGGCTGCCAAGTGCCTGAATTTTGATTGTGTGATGATGGGGGTGCTGCATTTCCTGTAACTTTGAGCATAGGTTGAAAGTCCATTTTTTCAGTACAGTTGTAATTTTGAACAGTTGCTGAATGAATGGTCATAAGTTGAGGACTGCCTGTACCACCAAACCATAGCTTCCAAACAAAAATTTTGGTTTCATACAGAAGCATTCCTAGGGCAATGGGAAATGTCAAAAAAATCAAAATGGCAACCATTTGATTGAATTCTTTTATTGTGTGCACAGAAACTATCTTGATGTCCCCCATTTCATCCTGGCCAGATAAAATGTATGCTTCTGAGCTTTTCTTGATCAGCCTCTATATTAAATTGATTCATAAATTGGTTCATTATTTTGTTTTCAGAACAACTTTCAAAAGAAAGCCTGGAGCAACAAGGACATATTTGTACTCTTAACGATACAATAACTGAGTTGGAGGCAGAAAAGGATTCTTTACAAGATCTTCTAGAAGATAAAAGAGAAAAAATTCTTACATTTGAAGAAAGCTTGGCTATTAAAGTAAGTTTAAATATGTGAATGTAGTTTTGATTAATACTGTTTTGTGAATTATTGAGAGAACTTTATTTTTAGAAAAGTGTTTTTCAAAGCATATATTATCAATAGATCATCAAAATAAAACATATAACTCATTTTTTAAACTGAGCATTGTGTGAACACAGTGATAACAGAAATTGGAACAATTATATTTCAATATGTTGTTTTAATATGCATGTTTATGAATTCACATTCTAATTATTGCTGACTTTTAGGATTGTTCAAAAATATATATTTATATGCAAATTATATACACATTTAAAAATTCTCTTAAATTCCAGAACATCATTATTATTACTATTTGTTGTTGTTGTTAATTGCGAAGTCGTGTCCGACCCATCGCGACCCCATGGACAATGTTCCTCCAGGTCTTCCTGTCCTCTACCATCTTCTGGAGTCCATTTAAGTTCACACCTACTGCTTCAGTGACTCCATCCAGCCATCTCATTCTCTGTCATCCCCTTCTTCTATTCCCCTCAATCTTTCCCAGCATTAGGCCCTTCTCCAGTGAGTCCTTCCTTCTCATTAGGTGGCCAAAGTATTTGAGTTTCAACTTCAGGATCTGGCCTTCTAAAGAGCAGTCGGGGTTGATCTCTTCTAGGACTGACCGGTTTGAATGCCTTGCAGTCCAAGGGACTCGCAGGAGTCTTCTCCAGCACCATAGTTCAAAGGCCTCAATTCTTTGGCGCTCAGCCTTTCTTATGGTCCAACTTTCACAGCCATACATTGCACCTGGGAAAACCATGGCCTGGACTATACGCACTTTTGTTGGCACGGTGATGTCTCTGATTTGCCATAGTTTTCCTCCCCAGGAGCAAGCGTCTTTTAATTTCTTGGCTGCAGTCCCCATCTGAGGTGATCTTGGAGCCCAGAAAAATAAAATCTGTCATTACCTCCATTTCTTCCCCATCTATTTGCCAGGAACTGAGAGGGCCGGATGCCATGATTTTGGTTTTCTTAATGTTGAGTTTCAAGCCAACTTTTGCACTCTCCTTCTTCACCCGCATCAAGAGGCTCTTTAGTTCCTCTTCACTTTCTGCCATTAGCGTGGTATCATCTCCATATCTTAGGTTGTTGATATTTCTCCCGGCAATCTTAATTCCAACTTTTGTTTCATCTACCCCTGCCTTTCTCATGATGTGCTTTGCATATAAGTTAAATAGGCAGGGCGACAGTATACAGCCTTGCCGGACTCCTTTTCCAATTTTGAACCAATCAGTGATTCCGTGTCCAGTTCTCACTGTTGCTTCTTGACCCGCTTATAGGTTTCTCAAGAGACAAATAAGATGGTCTGGTATTCCCATCTCTTTAAGAACTTGCCACAATTTGTTGTGATCCACAAATCAAAGGCTTTAGCATAGTCAATGAAGCAGAAGTAGATGTTTTTCTGGAACTCCCTAGCTTTCTCCATGATCCAGCATATGTTGGCAATTTGATCTCTAGTTCCTCTGCCTCTTCGAAATCCTGCCTGTACTTCTGGTAGTTCTCGATCCACATACTGCTGGAGTCTAGCTTGTAGGATTTTAAGCATAACTTTACTAGCATGTGAAATGAGTGCAATGGTGCGATAGTTTGAACATTCTTTGGCATTGCCTTTCTTTGGAATTGGAATGTAAACTGACCTTTTCCAATCCTGTGGCCACTGTTGAGTTTTCCAAATTTGCTGGCAAATTGAGTGTAGCACTTTTATTGCATCGTCTTTTAGGATTTTGAATAGCTCAGCTGGAATACTGTCACCTCCACTAGCTTTGTTGTTGCTCAGATTTTCTAAGGCCCATTTCACTTCACATTCTAGGATATCTGGTTCGAGGTCAGTGACCATCTCATTGTGGTTATCTGGGACATTAAGCTCATTCTTTTTTTTTTTTTCAAAGATAATTTTTATTAAATTTTTGAAATTTTACAAAAACAAAACAATCTTCCCCCCAACCTCCCCAACCCTCCCATTCCCTCCCCCCACCTTCCCAGAGCTGAATATAGGCTTAATTAAAATTTCATCAAAAAATCTTAAAAAAAGATATAAACCATAAATGAATCTAACATTAATTAGAAATCTAAATACATTAATTAGAAAAATTATAAAATAATTAACAATAGTATATATATGAAAAAAACATGAATACAAAAAATAAATGTTTAAAAAGGAAAAGAATAATAAAAACAAAAAAAGAAAAAAGAACAAAAAAGGAAAAGAAAAAAAAACAAAATATTCCATTTTAAATATAAATTGTTAAAAAACTAAGTAATATTTTTTATATCCAACTTATGTTGTATAAAATCTATCCATTTTTTCCATACCGCAACATACTTCTCTTGCGATTGATCCTTCAAGAAAGCCGAAATCTTTGCCATTTCCGCCAAATAAGAAACTTTAAGAAACCACTCTTGCAAAGTAGGCAAAGATTCCTTCTTCCAACATTGCCCTACTAACAACCTTGCAGCTGTAATTAAATTTAACATCAATGTAATCTCCTTAGTATCACAATCAATAACGATACCTAACAAAAAAAATTGTGGGGTAAATTTTACCCTCCTTCTAAAAATTCTTTGAATATTCCACCATATCTTAATCCAAAAAGCTTTTATATTTTTACACGACCACCAGATATGATAATAAGTAGCATCCAAACATCCACATCTCCAACATTTAGGCTGTAAGTCAGGATACATACGAGACATTTTTTTGTGGATCGAGGTTAAATTCTGGGCTTGTGTAAATTTAACTGGTTCACCAAAATTTTGTGCCCATTTAATCATACATTCTTTAACTAATTCTGCTTCTGAATCCAATTCTACTAACACCCCATAAATTCTCTTAATGTGAGTTCGTCTTTGATCTTTTACTTGTTTAAAAAAATTCTCATCTTCTCTAAGCAAACCCACATTACAATCTACCTTCCATCTATCCACAATTTGTCTGTACTGAAACCATGAATATATAATATTTTCTTGTGCTAAATCTTCCAAAGATTTTAACTGCCAATTTTTACCATCCCATCTAAGTAATTGTGCATAAGAAACACTATCCATCTTAACTCCTCTCCTTATCCCCTCTATTGCATGCCATGGTATGGCCCATAATGGAATTTTAGAATCAATTCTATAATATTTCCTCCAAACCCGAAGTAAAGAAATCCTTATAATATGAGATTTAAAGACCCTGTCAACCTTTTTATTAAAAATTAAATAGGCATGCCATCCAAAAAATAAATCCCAACCCTCCAAGAGGAGTATTTCTACATTTGTTAAGTTAATCCAATCACTAATTAATGTTAAAACCACAGCATCATAATACAATTTCAAGTTCGGTAGCTTGAGTCCACCTCTCTCACGAGTATCTTGTATAATTTTAAGTTTTACTCTTGGTTTTTTCCCTGCCCAGATAAATTTATTGATACCTTTCTGCCATTCATTTAAATTAACCTCATTCTTTAAAATAGGTATCATTTGAAATAAAAAAAGAAACTTTGGCAGAACATTCATTTTTATCGCTGCAATTCTTCCCAGAAGAGATAATTGCAATTTCTCCCAATTTTTCAACTCTCTTTGTATCTTGACCCACAGCTTTTCATAATTATTTTTATACAGTTTTGCATTAGAGACAGATAAAGTAACCCCCAAATATTTTACCTTATCAACAACCTTGAAATCTGTCAAATTAACCAAAGTCTGCTTATCAAGATTGGTCATATTTTTGGGTAATATTTTAGCCTTATTATTGTTAATTTTAAAACCTGAAACCCTTCCATATTGATGTATCAATTGTAATAACTCTACTACAGAATAAATAGGTTGTGATAAGGTAACCACCAAGTCATCTGCAAAAGCTCTTAATTTATATTCTTTTTTATTGACTTCTATTCCTTTTATTTGCTGTGATTCTCGAATTTTAATCAGCAATATTTCCAAAGTTAAAACAAACAGCAATGGTGACAATGGACATCCCTGTCTAGTCCCTTTTTCTATTGTAAAAACCTCTGACAAAGCCCCATTAACTATAAGTTGTGCCGTTTGTTTTTGATAAATAACACCAAGAGCTTGTAAAATTTTTCCTCCAAAATTCATTTTCTCAATTAATCTTAACATAAATTGCCAATTCACTTGATCAAAAGCTTTTTCAGCATCTAAAAATATCAAACCTGCGGAAACTTGATTATTTTTATCTAAATATTCTAATAAATTAATGATTTGTCTGACATTATTCTTCATATACCTTCCAGTTATGAAACCTGTTTGGTCTGTGTGTATAACATGATGCAAAACCCTCATAAGCCTATTGGCTAAAATTTTCGCAAAAATCTTATAATCTACATTTAAAAGAGATATAGGTCTATAATTCTTTGGTAAAGTAAGGTCTTGATCTTCTTTTGAAATTAAAGATATAAAGGCTCTACCCCATGACGGGGGAATCTCTGAGCCCTGTAATATATTATTAAAAAGTTCTCTTAAAGGTTGAACCATCTCTTGTATCAAAGTTTTATAATAAATAGATGTCAGGCCATCCGTGCCCGGTGCTTTACCTAATTTTAATTCTTTAATCACCATCTCAATTTCTTCATTAGTAATCAAACCATTAATTTCTTGTTTCTGATCTTCTGTTAATTTAGGGAAGTTGGCTTCATTTAAGTAATTATCTATATTTAAAACCTGTACTTTAGTACTCTTGTATAATTTTTGGTAATAATCTAAAAAAGATTTCTTAATCAAGTCCTTCTGATGTACCAGTTTACCATTATAATTTATTTTATCTATAATTCTCTGTCTCTGTTTCTTTCTCAATTGATATGCCAACCATCTCCCTGGTTTGTTAGCGTTACAAAATGTATTTTGTTTCATATACAATAAATTAGTTGCAGTTTGGTCAGCCATCAACATATTAAATTGTGATTTAAGCAATTTTATGGATTCTTTAACCTTCTCGTCTGTAGGATTTAAAATCAAAGTTTTTTCTTTTAATTTAATCTCATTTTTAATTTAATCTCATTACATTAAGCTCATTCTTGTATAGTTCTTCTGTATAGTTTTGCCATCTCTTCTTAATCTCTTCTGCCTCTGTTAGGTCCCTGCCATTTTGGTCCTTTATCATGCCCATCTTTGCATGAAACGTTCCCTTCATATCTCCAATTTTCTTGAAGAGATCTCTGGTCCTCCCTGTTCTGTTGTTTTCTTCTATTTCTTTGCACTGTTCATTTAAGAAGGCATTCTTATCTCTTCTAGCTACTCTCTGGAATTCTGCATTCAATTGGGTGTATCTTTCTCTTTCTCCTTTGCCTTTCGCTTCCCTTCTTTCCTCAGCTATTTGCAAAGCTTCCTCAGACAGCCATTTTGCTTTCTTGCATTTCTTTTTCTTTGGGATGGTTTTAGTTGCTACCTCTTGTACAATATTGTGAACTTCCATCCATAGTTCTTCAGGCACTCTGTCTATCAGATCTAATTCCTTAAATCTATTTGTCACCTCTACTGTATATTCATTAGGAATATGATTTAATTCATACCTGAGTGGCCTAGTGCTTTTCCCTACTTTTTTTAATTTAAGCCTAAATTTTGCAACGAGAAGCTCATGATCTGAGCCACAGTCAGCTCCTGGTCTTGTTTTTACTGACTGTATAGAGCTTCTCCATCTTTGGCTGCAGAGCACATAGTCAATCTGATTTCTATGTTGACCGTCTGGTGATGTCCATGTGTAGAGCGTCTCTTGGGTTGTTGGAAAAGAGTGTTTGTTATGACCATCGTATTCTCTTGACAAAATTCTATTAGCCTGTGCCCTGCTTCATTTTGTACTCCAAGGCCAAACTTGCCTGTTATTCCGGTTATCTTTTGGCTTCCTACCTTAGCATTCCAATCCCCCATGATGATAAGGACATCATTTTTGGGTGTTAATTCTATAAGGTGCTGTAGGGCTTCATAGAACCGGTCAATTTCATCCTCTTCAGCACCAGTGGTTGGGGCATAGATTTGGATTATTGTGATATTGAATGGTTTGCCTTGGATTCAAATTGAGATCATTCTGTCATTTTGGGGATTGTATCCCAGTATTGCTTTTCCTATTCTTTTATTGACTATGAAGGCTACTCCATTTCTTCTGAGGGATTCTTGCCCACAGTAGTATACCTGATGGTCATCTGAGTTAAATTCACCCATTCCTGTCCATTTTAGTTCGCTGATTCCTAAGATGTCGATGTTCAGTCTTGTCATCTCTTTTTTGACTACGTCTAGCTTGCCTTGATTCATGGATCTTACATTCCAGGTTCCTATGGAGAAAAAATCTTTACAGCATCAGACTTTCCTTTCACCACCAGATATATCCACAGCTGAGCGTCCTTTCGGCTTTGGCCCAGTCGCTTCATTCTTTCTGGCGCTACTAGTACTAGCCCTCTGCTCTTCCCCAGTAGCATATTGGACACCTTCCGACCTGAGGGGCTCATCTTCCAGCGTCATATCTTTTTGCCTTTTAGTACTGTCCATGGGGTTTTCATGGCAAAGATACTGGAGTGGTTTACCATTTCCTTCTCCAGTGGATCACATTTTGTCAGAACTCTCTGCTATGACCTGTCCGTCTTGGGTGGCCCTGCACGGCATAGCTTATAGCTTCATTGAGTTACACAAGCCCCTTCGCCACGACAAGGCAGTAATCCATAAAGGATTTTTATTTTTATTATTATTATTTAGGATGTATTAAAGCAGTATAATTTTTCTTAAAACAGCCTTTTTTCTTATTTTTTAAAAATGGCCATTTGTGTGGCCAGTTTTTATGCAACACATGATATAATATTTGTGCTCTGTAAATGTAAAATGAAACTAGTTAGTCATTGTACTATTGGAAAACATTTATCCAAAATATGAAGATTAGTTATAATCTCTGTAGTTGGGAATACCTAAAATCTTTATATAGTACAACTTCAGGGTTACAAATTATTCTAAATTTAGGTGTTCTCAAGGCTATACACCAAACAGAACACAGGTTTTGTTCCAGATGAAAAAAACCATTACCTTCTGCATGTCCTGCCAATCCATTTCCAATTATCTGCTGTTCAACAGAAACAAAACCAGAATGTTTTGGCTGTTTAAGGTTTCAGATGAAACAAAATCTGGAGAGATTTTGCAGAGCAACTAGGGCAAGGCCGATGTCATTTCCCTCCCCATTTTTCTTCACATGACATCTATGTTGTCCCTGCACTTCTTAACATGCAGTAATTCTCTCTCTCCTTTACCTACCTTCAACAAACATTGATGACCCAATACTGCATCTCCCACTGGTACCCAATCTTTCCGGGACTTTTATTGCAATCACTCTCAGTTGTTATTGATGTCCAGTTCAGTATATTCCACTGATCCACTTGCCGCTTCAATATTCATGGTACATACCTTGTCTTCATCACCCACATCCCTTTAGCTGATACTTTTATACGTTGTCACAAGGAAATCTCTCCTGAACTTACATTCATCCAAATCACTTCTATCAGAACAACTGTGTTTCAGTTTGTATCTGAAACATAGCAACATTATTTTACTCTATATATGCTTTTTGGCAATAATCTAACTTAGAATGACTTCACGTGGCAGTCTGTAGTGCTAAAAAAATTTAGAGAACAGGAGAATTGAATTAGAAGATTTTTTTCTGTTCAACGTGAACTATTATAAATAGGGGGCTTCAGTATCAAATAAGAGATCCAAGGTTTTGATTTGTTTGGGACTATATCGAAAGAAGAAAGATTAAAACCTTCTCTGTGATAAGATGTTGATCCAGATTTCCCCTTTCTACATTATTTTTTAAAAGCCTGGATGTGGTAGCTAACTATATGATAAATGTCATGTTTTGCTGGATTGTAAATGATAGTGCTTCTTGAATCTGGTTCAGTTTAAATTTTTTTTCCTTTTCTTTTCAAATCAGCTACATATTCCAATTTTTGTCAGCCCAATATAGAGAAAAAGCAATAGTTATTATTGTCAGTAAGTTATTATTAAATCCATAATTGTGGAAAAATATGTGCTATGCAAATCTACATGTTATTGTACTCTTAATCCGATAACTGTTATGAAAAAATGTTTTAATTAAAAGAAACATCTAAGTTTTTGTCTGTTTCATTCATCTCTTTTTACTAACTAAACAGAAATTTTAATTTATTTTCAAGGAGAAGACAATTTCAGATCTGAAAGGTATTCTTTCTGACATGGAACATTCATCAAAGTAAGATTCAGAATTCTAAATTTAGATTTTCCACCTAAATATTTGCATTAGCTCAATATATAATGCTAGAATTACTATTTAATAACTTCATTTATTCTGTATTTATCATCTGTTAATATTTTTTGATTCCTCAGTATAGAGAGGGATTTGAAGTATCATAGTTTTAAAAACTGTAAATAGAAGTCAGTTTTAAACAATTGTTTAAATTAGAGTCTTTCTATTATGGAAGAAGTGTGACATTGTATTCACAGTTGTTATATTCTTATCCATGTGGAATTGGTATTTACTAATATTTTGTGTGAAAATTTTGTGGTTTTTTATTGTTACATAGGCATTCTACTGAAGCATTATGCAAATATGAACAAGATATTGGCAGACTACACCAAATGTTAGATGATGCTAATAGTGAGCTTAATCAGACTGGCAGAGAGAAAGATATATTAACTAGGGAAAATACAAAACTAAAGGAACAACTTTATGCCTTTAAGCAGGAAAATCAGGTAAAAGATCTATTTGTTTATTTGTGTCAGAAGCATCACAATTAAAATAAGGCATACTATACAACATAAAATATAAAACATAAAATACAATATTAAAATATATACAAGTTAAACAAATCTTGGCCAGAAGCAATATTAATTGTGTTCTGTCGTATTTCCATGAGGTCCTCAAGTGAGATTGATCAGGACAAAAAGGATAGATACACATATATGTTGTTATTTGCATGTCACCACAATCACAAAGGGCAGAAGCCATTAGATAGCCCCATTTGTTCAGAGTATCTCTGGATCTTATTGAACCCATGCACAATCTATCCAATGATTTCCATATTTCCCAGCTTTCATCTGACCCAGATGCTATCTCCTCCATTGGTTCCATCCAGTGTTGATTCTTTGTAGCTTTCCATAGGTCCATTTTGCTTTTAAATTTTTCAGTCTTTTATATAAAATATTAACAGTATATACTTGCTGTTCGCCATTACGTTCTCTGCCCCATCATCTCTCTCTCTTTCCATTCAATCCCTGTTCAAATCCTACTTTTGTAAATTTACCTTTGTGTAATTCTTTAACTTTGATATTTCTATCAAACCTATCTATAATTTATTAGTCTTTTATCAGCAGAGTAACAGTTACAGTTTTGAAAATCAGTAGTTGGATATATAAACATTAAGAACTTTCTAGTATTTTTTTTTCTGTGTAAATGATTGAAGTATAAACAAATGCATAATTGTACATATATATTTATGTGGATGAATTCTAACTAAGTTATTATACATTTATACATTTAATGACCATTCAAAGGTAGACAAGTAAATTACTTCTGGCTGTTGTAAGATATTGACCTCTCCCTGCAGTCACGTGATCACAATCTGGGTGCTTGGCAATCTGTTCCCACTTATGACAGTTGTCAAGCACCTCATGATCATTTGATCACCACTTGCAATCTTCTCTGCAGAAAAAAGTCAGTAGTAAATCCAGCAGGGAAGATTGCAAGCTGTTTCCACCTATTAAAAGGACTCCCTTTCATCTTGGAACTGGCTGAAAAGGCTGCCTGCTGAGTTCTTTTGGTGGGATGGAAAACTGAGCTTTGATCTGAAGATCTGAACTCTGTTCCTGCCCTTTATTGAATGTATCCCTTCCACATATGGAGGACAGCTGACAAATCTTAAATCCTGATTATTTTTTTCAACCAGCCTCTAGAGGCAAAAAGGAGCAGAAATCTAAGGATTTTCAGTTTCTCAATAGAGAGTAGAGAATGCAGGATGCCTCAAGCAGGTAGGAGAGGCCTGATAGAGGCTGTGTGCAAGGTTCTTGTCACTCAAGGGGTGAAAATCCTGCTTGGATTTTGGCAGGGAAGATTTTTAGCTTCTGAGCATAAAGGCAGTGCAGTAAGGGGTATGGAGGACGAGAGAGGTAAATGTTCAGAGGCCTGGTGTAGGATACACGCAAATGTCTCTCCCTCGGGGGCTGAAAATGCTGCTTGAATTAGTAGGGAGGATTTTCAACTCCTGAGTAGAATCTCCCAGGGTCGCCTCCACCCGTACTGATATACTCTGCATTCCTTATCTGGGACTCCATTCACTTAACTACCTTCATGATTGCTTAACAAGTGCAACTGGGAGTGCCAGGGTTGTGGTCATTGAGTACAGGAATCAAGTGGACAGTCATGTGATACTCACTTGATCATTTCACTCAGTGACTGAGATTCTGGTACCAGTTGTGTTGTTAAGCAACAACCACCTGTGTTTGCCTCAAATTGCATTATTAATACTTATAAAGTAAAAACTGCATGCTATTCAAATAAGTATGATGAAATCCCGTTTTCAACTTCTTTTGAAAATGAAACCACCATGTTTCCCTGAAAATAAGACCCGATTTTATTTTTATTTTTTTGCCTTCAAAAGAGGCACCAGGTCTTATTTTTGGGTACTGTCTTTTCCACTGTCTTTTCTCATGTCACGGTGGCGGCACCAACAGCCCCGACAGCAAACCCACTGCAGCTGAGAATGGAGGTCCAGATTGACATGCGCAATGCCCCCCACTTTCACTGTCAGAGACCTTCTGGAAAGGCCTCTGCAGCCGAGAACTGAGCTATGGATTCATCTGTAGCTCGGTTCTCGGCTGCAGAGGCCTTTCCGGAAGGCCTCTGATGGCAAAATGAAGGCTGGGGGGTGCCGCAGAGGAAGTAAGCCAGTGAGGCGAGGCAGGTGTCGATTCATGGGAGGCCTGGCTGCAATGGTAAACAGGTGCACGGTATGTGGGGCAGCTCCACCCCTCCACCGCTGCCCTATCTTGATTTTTAGGTGTGCTCCTCACCCCAAAACTAGAGCTTATTTTTGAAGTAGAGCTTATATTAGGCCCACCCCCCCAAAATCAAGATAGGGCTTATTTTTGGAATAGGTCTTACTTTCAGGGAAACACAGTGGTCTTGGAAATCTACTAAGAGATGGAAATATTTTATTTTTATTTTATTATTTTATTTTAGTCAAGTCAAGGCAGCATACATATTTATGCTCCTCACTCCTATTTTCCCGACAACAATTGTGTGAGGTGGGTTGGGTTGAGAGAGAGTGACTGCCCTAAAGTTACCCAGTTCAGTTTCATGCGGAAAGGAGGATTAGAATTAACAGTCTCCTGGTTTCTAGTCCAGTACCTTAGCCACTATTTACCAATATTTTATTTATCCAAAATGGTCAATGAATTCTGATAGCTAAGGTGCAAGATTAGGATAAGAAAGATCCAGATTCAAGTCCCTCATCAATCATACAAGCTCAGTGGATGACTTTAAGCCATTTTTAAATCTATAGTACTTTTGTTGTGAGGAAAAATTGGAAGAAATACTGTGTGTGTGTGTGTGTGTGTGTGTGTGTGTGTGTCTTTGAATTCATGGAGAAATGTGGGATTTAAAACAATAAAAGCTGTAAATAAATACATATCATTGGGTTTCCACCATAATATGTTTAGATTAAACCTTGGAATTCTGCTTCATCAGATCATTCATCTTAATCTTGTAGGCTGAAGTAGTAGCTTTCTTCTCCAAGGAATTATCAATACTCTATGCATGTTCTCTTTAGTTGAAGCAAGATAGAATTAAATCTTGTAGTCACTTCTTTATCATCTTGGATATGTGGAACAAATGCATCCTAAAGAATGGGAGATATTCTGATGGTTTATTTCTCTTGAACACTAAAAGAGATGCATGAATTAAAGATACATGAGTTCCATTTCTTACCAACTTTTTTTGCTGGTCCTCAGAAGATATGGCTTCTGGTCCTCAGAAGATATCATTTCACTGGTGCAAACTGTGCTTCACATATTCCATTTGTGTTAATTAAAAAAATATCAAAATTTAGGAAGGCAGTAACATATAGTAGAAGTCATAACAAAGTAAAATGGTGTGTTTTTCATTTTGCTGCAACACTTTTAATCACTGGGACCTCTGTTCCTTGAACTTTATACATTTTTGTCTTCTTATTCCATTGACTTACCATCGTCTTTCTTGAAGTTCTGACTTCCATGCTTCAGCTGAGCAAAACTGAATATTTTATCTTTTTTCTTGTCAATTTTTTTAAAGTAATTCAATTATGTTTACATTGATTAATGATGCTTTCTTTATGGAATCTAGGTGTTCTGTTAGCAATTTTTTTCTCACCATGCATATGTATACATAACCCGAACTAGACTGTTGTTTCTCTGTGTCATATAATATATGTGGGTCTATGCATATGTGGGTATATGCATAATTCTGTATTTATTTATTTATTTTTATCACAACAAATTTTCATTTTAATGTATGCTGATTAGTGTACATTCAAAGTGACAATAAAGTTATTATTCTATTCAATAATGAGCAGATCATTTGAGTCTTTAGCAATCTCAAATTTGCAGGTGTTACACTGAAGATAGTTTTTTGCTGGCATTTACTACAGTCTGTCATGAAAGTAAACTAGTAGGTCTCCACTTAATCCATTAATTATACCCTTGCACAAATAACAAGTGGTATTATTCCCAGGTATATAGTTTCTTCCCAAGGTTGTTTCTAGTTTTCATTTTAGTTAAGGCATTATTTTGTCAGTATTTTATTTGGCTTTAATAAGGACATTAGAAAGTAATCCTTTACTTCGTAGAGTTTCAAAGAACTTTGTATTTTGCCATGAATAAACTTGTGTATTTAAGGAAAAAAAACCAAAAATCAGAATGGTTGTTTATGAGCTATACACAGACAAGAAAGGTCTTAGCAGCGTTCTCATAGTGGAATGCACATTGGATTATCTGTTCATTTGTACAGGTTGTCTTCAACTTACAACAGTTCATTTAGTGACCATTCAAAGTTACAACAGCACTGAAAATATGACATGATCATTTTTCAAACGACCATTGCAGTGACAAAATTAGTGGATCAGAGGAATGCTGTGGATATAATTTACTTGGACTTCAGTAAGGCATTTGATAAAGTAGATCACAACCTACTACTTGATAAGATAGAAAAATGTGGGTTAGACAGCATCACCACCAGATGGATTCATAACTGGCTAACCGGCTGTACTCAACGTGTGGTCCTCAATGGAACCACATCTACATGGAGGGAAGTGTGTAGTGGGGTGCCCCAGGTTCTGTTCTGGGCCCACTGCTCTTCAACATCTTCATCAACGATTTGGACGAGGGGATAGATGGAGAACTCATCAAATTTGCAGACGACACCAAGCTGGCAGGAATAGGCAACACTCCAGAAGTCAGGCTTAAGATACAGGAGGATCTGGACAGACTTGAATACTGGGCGCTATCTAACAAAATGAAATTCAATGGTGAAAAAAGTAAGGTTCTACATTTAGGCAAGAAAAAACCAAATGTACAAGTATAGTACAGGGCAGTGATGGCAAACCTTTTAGAGACCGAATACCCCAAAACTGACCCCGCCCCCATTCCACCCCATGCCCTGCCCCAACCCTGCCTGCCCGCAGGGCCACTCACTGCCTTCAAGGCCCGCCGCAGATCGCCCAGCAGCACCATGGCAGCCATGCCCTTTGCCCGCGCCCCGCAGCATCAACTGTGCGTGATGGGGCGTGAGGGAGAGTCTTGTCTACGCTGTCTGGCTGCCATGTCCTTGGCTGCACTGCTCCGTGTGAGCCACACCTGGGGGTGACTCTCCTCCAGGGGGGCTGCTGGTGAGGAGGGGGTTGTGGGGGGAGGCAAGGCTGGGGCAATGGCACATGTGCCCACAGAGAGGGCTCTGAGTGCCGCCTCTAGCACCCGTGCCATAGGTTCGCCACCACTGATATGGGGGGTACCTTGTTCAATATTAGTAACTGAGAGAGGTCTCGGAGGCCTAGTGGACAATCACTTAAATATGAGCCAGCAGTGTGCTGCAGCTGCCAAAAAAGCCAACATACTGCTAGGCTGCATTAACAGAGGGATAGAATCAAGATCACGTGAAGTATTAATGCCACTCTACAATGACTTGGTAAGGCCACACTTGGAATACTGCATCCAGTTTTGGTTACCACGATGTAAAAAAGATGTTGAGACTCTAGAAAGAGTACAGAGAAGAGCAACAAAGATGATTAGGGACTGGAAGCTAAAACATATAAGGAACGGCTGCTAGAATTGGGTATGTCTAGTTTAATGAAGAGAAGGACGAGGGGGGACATGATAGCAGTATTCCAATATCTCAGGGGCTGCCATAAAGAAGAGGGAGTCAAGCTATTTTCCAAAGCACCTGAAAGCAGGACAAGAAGCTACAGATGGAAACTAATCAAGGAGAAAAGCAACCTAGAACTAAGGAGAAACTTCCTGACAGTTAGAATAATTAACCAGTGGAATAACCTGCCTCCAGAAGTGGTGAATGCTCCAACACTGGAAGTTTTTAAGAAGAGATTGGACAGCCATTTGTCCGAAATGGTATAAGGTTTGCTGCCTGAACAGGAGGTTGGACTAGATGACCTCTAAGGTTCCTTCCAACTTAATAATAATAATAATAATAATAATAATAATAATAATAATAATAATAATAATAATAATAATTATTATTATTATTATTATTATTATTGTTATTATTATTATCCCCATGTAATCAAAATTTGGATGCTTGGATACTGACTCATATTATGATGTTTACAGTGTCCCAGGGTCATGTGATCAGCTTTTGCAACCTTCTCCCAAACAAAATCAATGGGAAAGCTAGATTCACTTAACAACCGTGGTACTAATTTAACAAGCGCAGTGATTCACTTAACAACTGTGGCAAGAAAAGTCATAAAATGGGGCAAAATTCACTTAACAAATGTTTCACTTAGCAACAGAAAGTTTGGGCTCAATTGTGGTTGTAAGTCAAGGACTACCTGTATATATCTTAGAAAAGTTTCTGCTACCGCAGCCCTCTGTAGACCCACTCATCTAGGTTGAGGGCTGTGTCCACTATAGCTTTCTCTTATATAAGTCAGACAGCAACCTAGGTTGGTCCTCAACTTTTATTGAATAAAGAATGACACTACTGAAATACATTTTCTCAATTTTAAAGTAATTTCTCTTTTTATATGTAACAATATAACTTATTAATGCTTTTAAATATCAAATTATATTAAAAACATGAATAAATTAAATATATGAAATAATGCTTCATATTTGTTTGACAGCTTCTATTTGAGAAACTCAGTAAATATCAGAATGACTTTGAGGATATGAAGTTGAAAACTGAAGATCTGCAAAGACTGAAGAACTTGCTGAACTCTAAAGTAAATATATACTTTGAAAAGATACAACTATAAAAAGCTTAGTACAAGGCTTCTTTTCACAATATGTGTCTCTTTCTTTGAATGGTCGATGGTTAGAATGGGCATGGGCAATTTGACACCCATCCCCTTTTTTTAACTCCAAGAGATGCCTTTAATTGTCGGTAATTATCTAATTATTGACTGGACTGAAGAATTTCCTATCAGTTTGAGATGAAAAGAACACATGAAAGCCATCCTATAAAAACTGAAATAGCACATTAAAAGGAAGGAAACTACAAAAAAAAGCCTGACTTTCCTTACATATGTGATACGTACTGTATGGTCCTACACACTTTGCAGTCTTTGATCATCAAGAGGCTGTCCACCTCTGCTTTAGAGCCCTTGTTTATAGAAATCACAGTTACTTCAAGACATCTCCTTTCAAGCAAAACTATATACTGCAAGATAAATATGAGCTTTCCACTTCCATGTTTTCCTTAAAATGCTAATATGGAGAACAGAATTTTAAAGAGAGATTTGTCAAATGAGAAGGAGCTGTTTTATTCTTCCTTAGTTTCATTCTCACTTGCAGGTGATTTTTCTCTTAACTTTTCCTTAAAATATATTACTGGGAAATGGCTACTGAAAAAGTTTCAAGGAAAAGCTGGCAAGTGCAGGAGGAAATTATAACTGTCTCTTCCCTTTGGCTAAATCTTTCTTTTGTAGAAAACTAGATATGAAAATTGCATGTTGTCCAGATCCAATTTCTTTTTTTTTATTGAAAAGTTTTATAAAAATTACAGTATACACCCCAAAACCCACCCACCCTAAAGCCCCCTCTCCCTCCCCCACTTCCCAGAGCTGAGTACAGGGTTACAAATATAATAATCAAACTCTAACTAATATTAACCAACTATATAAATAACCAAGTCCATAATGCGCTATGACTCCCCTTTAACATAAGTATAAACAAATTAAAAATAAACATAATAATATAAACAAGTCGATATTATTAAACAATACAATATTCAAATGGTTAACAATACTAATACTAAAAATAATAAAACTAATAAAAATTCTACTATAATAAACTATTAATAATAATAATACTCTAAAATTTACTCATAAACTAGATGGAATTTTTTAGTCCCATATTTATTCTGAATATAATCTATCCATCTTCTCCAGACCGAAATGTATCTTTCTTGTGAATGATCCTTCAAGTAAGCAGAAATTTTCGCCATTTCTGCTAAATTTGACACTTTAAGCATCCATTCTTCTATAGTAGGCAAATAATCCTTCCAATATTGCCCTACCAATAACCTTGCAGCTCTTATCAAATTCAACGTCAGATTAATTTCTTTAACATCACAATCTACAATAACACCCAATAAAAATAATTGTGGAGTAAACTTTATCTTTCTCCTAAAAATCTTTTGAATGTTCCACCAAATCTTAATCCAAAAGGCTTTTATATTTCTACAAGTCCACCAGATTTGAAAATAAGTAGCATCCAAGCTACCACATCTCCAATATTTGGGCTGTAAATTAGAATACATAAAAGACAACTTTTTAGGATCCAGATGCCATCTATAAAACATTTTGTAAAAATTTTCTCTTAAATTTTGGGCCTGGGTAAATTTTACATTTCTAACCCAAATTACCTCCCATATATCCAATGGAATCGATTCTTGAATATTTTGGGCCCATTTTACCATACAATCTTTAACTAAATCCATTTCCGAATCCAATTCTATTAAAGCATTATAAATTCTCTTTATATGCGCTCGATTTTGATCTTTAATCTATATTACCAAATTCTCATCCAATAAGGTAATACCAACCTTTTGATCTAACTTCCACCTAGCCAACAATTGATTATACTGAAACCAAGACTGTACAATATTTTCTTGCTTTAACTCAACTAATGTTTTTAATTGCCAATCATTCCCTACCAATCTAAGTAGTTCCTTATAAGAAATCCTATCCAAATTCATACCCATAGATACCCCCTCTATCATGTGTCCAGGAATCCCCCAGATTGGTATTTTATAATTTAACTTATAATAATACTTCTTCCAGACATGCAATAAAGCACTTCTTAAAATATGAGATTTAAAAACTTGGTCAACTTTTTTATTATAAATTAAGTATGCATGCCACCCATATAATAAATCCCACCCCTCAAGATGAAGTATGCTTTTATTTGTTAAATTAAGCCAATCACTAACCAGTGTTAAAACCATCGCATCATAGTATAATTTCAAATTAGGTGCCTTAAGTCCTCCTCTTTTCCGGGCGTCTTGTAAGATCTTAAATTTAACTCTTGTTTTTTTCCCAAATGAATTTATTAATGCCCTTCTGCCATTCAACCAAATTGGCATCTTTTTTCAAAATAGGTATCATTTGAAACAAGAAAAAAAACTTTGGTAGAACATTCATTTTAACAGCTGCAATTTTCCCCAACAAAGATAATTGTAATTTTTTCCAATTGTTTAAGTCCTTTTGTACTTTTAACCATAATATCTCATAATTATTTTTATACAATTTTACATTAGAGGCTGTAATATATACTCCCAGATATTTAACCTTTTTCACTATTTCAAAACCTGTCAATTTAACTAACATTTCCTTTTCCTTCATAATCATATTTTTAGATAATATTTTAGTCTTATTATTATTTACCTTAAAACCAGAAACTTTCCCATACTGAGTTATAATTTCCATCAAATCTATAACCGATTGAATCAGTTGAGATAGTGTTACAACCAAGTCATCTGCAAAGGCTCTCAACCTATAATCATTCTTTTTTATTTTTATTCCCTTTATTATAGTTGATTCACGAATTTTAATCAGTAAAATCTTCATTGTTAAAACAAACAACAATGGCAACAATGGACATCCCTGTCTTGTACCCTTTTCAATTTTAAATGCCTCTTTTAATCCTCTATTAATTATGATTTGTGCTGATTGTTGTTGGTATATAGCCCTAAGAGAATATAAAAATTTATCCCCAAAATTCATTTTATCAACAACTTTCAATAAAAATTGCCAATTCAATTGATCAAAAGCTTTTTCAGCATCCAAAAATATCAATGCCGCAGGGACTTGATTGTTCTTATCCAAATACTCAATTAAATTAAAAATTTGTCTTACATTATATTTCATATATCTTCCAGTTATAAATCCAGACTGATCACTATGAATCATTTGCTTCAAAACTTGCATTAATCTATTTGCCAATATTTTCGAAAAAATCTTATAATCTGTATTCAAAAGCGATATAGGTCTATAATTCTTAGGCTGGGTAAGGTCTTAGTCCTCCTTTGGAATTAATGATATAAAACCCCTTCTCCAAGAGGGAGGCACTTCTCCTCCAATCTGGATACTATTAAAAAATTCTTTTAATGGTTCTATCATCTCTTCAGATAATATTTTATAATAAATTGCTGTTAATCCATCTGTACCAGGAGCCTTACCCACTTTTAACTGTTTAATTGCTCAAATAATTTCCTCAGAAGTAATTAAACAATTCATCTCATTTCGTTGTTCATTTGAAAGTCTAGGAAAATGTGCTGCCTTATCTATATCTAAAGCTTGTATATTTTCACTAGCATATAATTTTGTATAAAAATCTAAAAAACTCTTTTTAATCAACTTTTGTTGATATACCTCTTTACCTTTATATTCTATTTTCTCTATAATACGTGATTTCTGTTTCTTCCGTAACTGATAAGCAAACCACCTACCAGGCTTGTTTGCATTACAAAACATGTTATATTTCATATAACACAAATTAGTTGCGATCTGATCAGCCATTAACATATTAAATTGCTCTTTCAACATATTTATAGAAACCTTTAATCTATTATCCAATGAGTTCAAAATAAAAGCCTTCTCCTTCGATTTAATCTCTTCTTCCAACTCTTTCCGTTTTTGCATCTGCTTACACCTATATCCATTATTCATATGAATCAAAACCCCTCTCATAGAAGCTTTACTGGCATCCCAAACCATTGCCATCGAAGTACTTTTATACATATTCAAAACAAAAAATTCCTTCAAATGTTCTCTACATTTTTGCGAAAGCCCCTTATATCTAAATAAATTTTTGCCCAGTCTCCAAGATCTTCTATTCCCATCTTCAGCAAATAACTCCAACCAAACAGGACTATGATCCGACAATGTTCTAGGAAAGATCTTAGCATTCTTGACCCTGGAGAAAAGATCAGTGGTAATTAAAAAAAAATCAATTCTGGAAAACGATTGATGCCTATCCGAAAAAACAGTAAAATCTCTGTCCTCCATATTCCGTTCTTGCCAAATGTCTCTAAGTTCCAAATCATCTTTCAGGTCAAAAAAAACTTTAGGTAATTTAGAATGATTGGAAGTTTTAAAAGATCCCTTCTTGTCTTTACTTGAATCCAAAACACCATTCCAATCACCCATCATAATAATAGATTTATAATCCAATTGAGTTAATTTATGATGTAACAACTTGTAGAACTGTTTTTGTTGTTGATTAGGGGCATATAATCCAATAATAAGAAATTTCTTTCCTTATAGCACTAAATCAATAATAACATATCTTCCTTGTATATCAGATTCAATTAATCTAGCCGATAAATCTCTTCTTACATAAATAACTACTCCCCCCTTTTTTTCTGGGGCAGAAGCTATAAAATGTGATCCCAACTGAGAACTAATCAAATACTTTTGATCTTTCGCAGCAATATGAGTCTCCTGCAAGCAAATAATGTCATTCTTATGTTGTTTCAAGTAGTGAAATACTTTCTTTCTTTTCTGTGGTAAATTCAGGCCATTAACTTTCCATGTCAGAAACTTTGCCATTCTTAGTGGCCTGAAGCCTCTGGAATACTTCTTGAAGATCAGCCGTTGATCTCTTTGGTCGTGTCCCTCCCACAGGCTGTGTAGTAATCGGACCTTGTATTGTTGATCCAGAATTAGTCTTCTGCTTCTGCTCCTTTTCTTTACGTCTGTGCGCAGCACGAGTCATCCTA